CTTATCCGAATTTCTTTCCACGTTCAACACACGCGGGGCCAGAGCAAGCTGAGCCGGTGCTCTAGGCAAACGACAATCATGCCGCCCTCAACCCCGAAAGTGATCGGTTAACAGATGAAATTAAGGACCGTGAGGGAAGGGGTGGGTGTAGCGGATGAAACTGAGGACCAGGGGATTCGCTCACTATTCTGCTGCCCAAGGCGGCCACCTACGTTACCTCTATGCACGCGTTGTCCCTGAACACACGTTGGCCACAACAGAAAAAAACAAAAAAACAAATGCGTTATTCGTGTTTTTTAATATTTAAAATTAATCACGTGTCAAATTAATCACGTGCGTTTATCACGTGCATTATTGGGAGTAACCAATAGCGTTAGAGATAACAAGTAAACCAAGTACCTCCCCAAGACTGACAAAAATCCAAAAAGTTTTGTGCGAGCAGAGAGAAGAGCCAGCGAACGAGTGGAGAAAACTGATCGCGAGCGATTGCGCTGTAGGCATGACCTCGTTCGTGAGAGCGTACATCGTGCGCACAGATGATGATATTCGCTAGTGCTGGGTGTATGAGCAAAATATCATATTCTGTTATTTTTAGGAGGAATGACGGTATACAATATATTTATATATTGTGAGCAAAATATAATTCTAACATAGGGGTTCCATCCATGTTGCGTCAGTGATGGGTTGTTCTTGAACGATTCATTCATTTTGAACAAATCTTTTGTATGACTCGTGGAGTGAATCATTCATTTGCGCATGCGCACATTTGTGGAGCTTGCGTGCTACCTTGGAGTAATTTGTTTCGCGCAGAAGGCGCACATGTGGCTCATATCGATATGAACGATATTGGATAATACCACATCACGTTGGGGAATCATATCGATATATCCCCAGAACCCGATATACTGCTCACCCTAATATGTGCGCACAAGGGTTTACGAAGAGCTCACGAGCACCCATTTCCTCACAGTGGATCAGTTAAGCATGCGCGTTAAGATCCCCTATGCGCGCTTGAGTTGTAGTTATCTCTCGTGTAGGCCTGTAATCTTCTTGCTGTTCATTTCTCCTCATGCGCAAGCATCTCCGATTATTTTTGGCATTCATTTGTTTTCCATAGCCGGGTTCTTTTTTGTGAAGAAGATATGGTTTTCTTCAACCATGTATTGACTATTGAGGGCTGAATAGCATTAAAGGTTCAGGACACCCTGGAGAACTTTTTTTTTATATTAACAGATTTGTGTGTGTTGAGCATCAGTTAAGACAATGTTAGCACCTGTCAGCTTTAATTGTGGGGAAAACTGGATAATTTTGAGCTTTTGTCATCTAATTTCAGCCTCCAGGTTTAAAATGATTTTTGGGGCGGGATCAAAATCGGCGACGTAGCGCAGAACTACAAGTGCAATGATGACGCGTCGTTTTCTCATTATTATTCATATCGGAGTTTTCTTATCCTATGAGAAGAGCCGGCTGCTTAAATATTCATGTAGCCATTCATGAAGGCTCATATGTGTTTGTTTCCATGATCCACAGGGTTTGTTGCATGTTTTTTCCCCGCGATCCTGTCAGGGCCGATCATACAGCAAAGCTGCGTGTGTGCTGCAAGCATTTTTTGTCGGGAGAGCAGTGCGAGAATTGAAGAATGGCGGACGTTGACTTTTATCAGGAGTTCGTTCACATTCAGACACATCGCCATGCTGCTGTGTTTGCCTAAATCCTCTATGTTACCAGCAGGGCTAATGGTTAAAATTGGCATGTCCGGAGACCTGCCGCACTGAGTCTGTATTCAAGATCTATAATTTAGACACGGGGATCGAGGGAGAATCCTCATTTAGTTATAGTGTTTACATAAACACACTTATCTTTATAATGATATAAATTGTGGTTATGTGTATATGAAATTACGAATAACAAATGTTGCAGGGCATGAAATTACTGTTTATTTCTTTGCATTTTAACTTTGTGAACTATAAACTCATGCGTCTCCTCACGGTTTGTGTCTCAGTTTGTGAGCTAACTGTCAACAACAGTTATTCGCTCCCCTTCTCCCCTGCTGGCCACGCCCACTCCTGCCCAATGCTCGCAGAGCTCCACGCCCATTAATCATGCATAACCGAAAGTGGGGGGTGTCATGGCCCTTTAAGCCTGGTTTATACTTCTGCGTCGAGTGATCAGCGTGATCAGCGTGATGCACAGCGCATGCAATGCTGTGTTTTTTCTGAATGCTTCCTTAATGTACAAGTGGTTCAAACTATTTCATTTTGAGGCAGGAACCGGCGGACGTGCAACAACTTCAGTTATGAGGTAATGACAAAACAAAACTTTCCATCCGGAGCTCCTTCACGGGACTCCACACTTGTAAACAATCGTCACCCACAGTCGTCAGCGCTACCAAGCCAACCAATCACAGAGCTTGCGTTATGCGTCGTTGTGACGTGTAGCTACAGTTTTTGAGAGGTGCGTGCAGCGACGGCGATGGCCACGGTGAGGGCTATGCATCCACGTGTGCACTTGATGCAGAAGTATAAATCAGCCTTTACGGTAAGGAATATATACCTCTTGACGTTGATGCCTTTGACCTTTGAGAGTCTGCAAGGGGCTACCTTCTTCACAAAATTAGATCCCCGCAAAGCTTATCATTTGTATAAGACAGGGGGATAAATGGAAAACTGCTTTTAAAACCCTCAGGGGACATTTTGAATATTGTGTTTTCCCCTTTGGGCTTTCCAATGCCCCAGCAGTGTTTCAAGCACTCGTCAATGACGTGTTGAGAGATATGATAGATTAGTTCATTTATGTCTACCTGGATGACATTCTGATATTATAACAAATTGTGGTTATGTGAATTTAAATGAATCTTATTTAATCATGGGTCTCCTCATGATTTGTGTCTTATTTTGTGAGCCAACTGACAACAGTTGTTTTCTCCCCTCTTTTTCCCTTGCTCTGCCGGCCATGCCCACTCTTCCATCTGCTCGTAGCGTGCCACACCCACCATGAAGCATTTGTTTTTATTTTGAGGTAGACTTGAACTGAAAGAGGGGGGTTTCATAGCCCTTTAATTGTTGAATTGTGTATTTAAGAAGTCACAGGTGCATCAGCAAAGCTTATTGGAATGTATTGCATAAAGTGAGAGGTTAAATGAGGCTAGCCATCTTCTCTGCCTCTTTTTTCTCTTTCATCCTACCGGAGCTCTGTAATTTTCCAGCTCTGTCTTTAACTCTGTCACTACTACACTTAAAATACTAGTTCTCCTCTCACCCAGTTGGTTTGACATACTTTCTCGCCCTGTTTTTTTCTTCTACATTTACTGCTTCATCAGTATCTTAATAAGAACATATATGAAACCATTAAAAAAAACTTGTTTGAGGTTTGGCAAAATCATTTGGCATTAATTTACATAACAACTGTTTTGAGGCATGAAAAGTGGGGAAATCCTTTTGCATTGCATTATGAATTATGTGTTCAATCAGTAATATGAAAACACTTCACAACCAAAACAACTAAATGAATGCATGTTTGTGCATGTAGTGCTTCAAAATGACAATTCCCATACTTGCCTGGCATGCAAACCACACTGCTTTAAATGTTTTTGTGGATCGATGTGAACAGAGACCAATTTTACAACATTGTTATCTGTTCACAGAACCATTTCAAAAATACAAAAGATGTCAGGTATGCATGACACAGGTCTTTTGGTATTATTGTCTTTTAATATGGACAAGCAGGGTAGGTTAAAACTGCTGTAGCAAAGTAAAAAAATCATAAAACATTTGCATATAAGATATGTTAATATCTGGTCTTAAGGAATAGTCTGCCTAACTAGATATTAATCGACAAGTTAAGAGATCTGTTTTGCAGCATAAGGGAATGTACAACGTACTAAAATTGTAGTTGGTGATGTAAATGCAAAGAAACTGTACCTGACTGTGCACATACTGTATATACTGTTCCACAATCTTTTGAATTAGTTATTTTATTCACTCATCCCTATAAACCATGGGGTCTCCAGCCATGCACTTGAAGAGATTGCAACCTGCAGACATCCTGCTTAAAAAAATGCCCATGCTTTTTGTAGCCTTTGAAACTCATGTTTAAAATGTTTCCATTGTTAGTTGTCATGTAAACGAACTGCCAAAACTCATATTATTCCGTTTTTAGTTCAAATCAGTGTCATGTAAACTTTAAATTGGTAATTATCTAAATTAGTTCTCAAAAACACCCAGCTCACATTGACGGTTGGTGTAGGCGTTCACAATGGATTTGGCCAAAGGCTAAGGTCTAAATTTTTGTCTGTTTGTGTGCGGTTAGAGCTGGTTTAACCAGCTGAGTAAGAGACTTTACAAGGACAATTCTCATGAAAAATACACTTATTCCACAGTACTATTAGTAAACAATAAGAAAGTATATTTTCAGTCTAATACTACTCTAAAATGTACTACAAGTACAGTACATCTTAGAAATATACTTAAAAGGGCATTTAAGTTCTTGACTTGTCACTAATTATGCTTTGGCTGATATTATGCAGCAGATGCAACCCAGCACTGGAAAAGCACACTCTCATTCACACGCACGCACGCACGCACGCACGCACGCACACACACACACACACACACACACACACACACACATATTATTGACTATTATGATATATATTATTATATACAGTATGTGGAATCCAATTGTAATTTGCATATGCCATATATCATGCCATATATCAGCTTTCTATATAGAGATGAAAAAAATTACAGTAAACCTACATTATGATGGAATGAATAAAACTAGTAAAAATGCAACTTAAAATAATACTTTTTATTTTAATAAGGAAAGAGATGCCAACCACCAGTTCTTTTTGTGCAAAAGAAATAATGACGTAACCAAGAGTTTGTATGGTTGAAATAAATGTAGGTGTGTTTGTTTGTTTGTTAAAAGTTGAGAATGTTTGGGGTGGAGGAATTTGTGGGTGCGGCTGTTTTACTTAATAAAACCCTCAACCTCTCTCAATCTGTTCACTCAACCTGTTCTCTTACTCTTTACTTACTTGGTCTTTTTTTTACAGCCAGAAACATGAGTGGCAAAATGTCAGGTAAGATATATATATATATATATTTATTAATCATTGGTCTGTTTTCCTGTTTGTTTAAAATGAGTTAACACATCATGCTGCTGCAGCACTACTAGTGCATTTTAGGAGTTTAAATTTCTTACACACTTGCAGCTTTCACTTTTCAAATCTGATTTTATGGCCAATTTGTCATTTGTGAAAATGACTTTGCCAATTTGAATGTCACTTCAATAAAATCTTGGAGTACTGGAGTATCTTGGAGTGTTTGATTTTAACAGTAGGCATTTAAAGAAACACTTCACGCAAAAGTGACAATGCACTCACTATTTATTTACTCCCCTGAAGTGGTTTCAAACTTCTATTACTTTCATTATTCTGGAACACAAAAGACAACATTATGAAGAGAGCTGAAATCCAGTAAGCATTGATCATTCCATAATACAAAAAAACAAATACTGTGGAATCATTGTTTACCAGTTGTTTATTTTTTTGTTTTTTACAATATATTTTTCTGTGCTCAATAGAAGAAAATCAAACAGGTTTAGAACATGAAATGTGAGTAAAAGATGACAGAATTTTCAATTTTAAGTGAACAATCCCTTTAACTAGTATAAAATAGGCTAAAAAATACACTAGTCCTCAACACCAGAAAGGTCCAAAAGGTTATTTTTAATGGACTGAGATGGATATACAGAAAAATGTAACCGCTTGCACTGAATGTGCTGGTTTAAGCCTTGTTATAGTCTGCAGCCCTGCCATCTCTTATAATATACTCACAAAGCCCAGTTGCCTGGTTTGGTTTATGTATCAGAGTAGAATGTAGAAAGACAGAAATATAGTAAATTTGTGGCACTTTAGGTGACATTTATGTTTCTAAAGCAGAAATAAAGTGCCATGCTGTGCCAAATCTCAATCAGAATGTAGTTAAATAGAAAGTAAACACTGCTTATATGTTTCATACTCAGTCAAAGAATAAAGTAACCAAAAATATATTTAATGTAGATGTTTATGCATTTACTTAAATACTGTAAATGACTGATGATAAAACTGAGTAGGTCTCTCTCTTTCTGTCCTAATTGTTTGTTGTGTTGGCCATCCCTCCTTTTCTGAAAACTTCCACTCTTCCGTCAGTTAAGGTCCACATCTTCTCTCCTTTATTTCGCCTCTTGCTGTAACTTTGTCCATGTTTTATGCAGTTTCTCGGTGTGATATTCCATATATGTGCACCTTTGACATTTCCACTATTTTTAATTTAGTATATTGTAAACAATAAGAATCGACGGTATCACTTTAGTTTTTGTAACAATTCATACCACTGGCTTATTACCTGCCTATTATTAAAATATTAACAGTTTATTAGCACTTACTTAAGTATGATATTATTTTACATCATGCCCAATACCTAAAACTGCTACCATACAAACTATTAATAATCAGCAAATTAGCACAGTGCTCAGCCTATATAAGGACACCGCTAACAGATCTATCTTTTAAAATTATATTTTTAATAGGAAGCTATACAATATTATATTTGTGCATATACATTAGATTAGTCAGTACTGAAGCCAAATCTGGAGCTCATCTAACAAAATAACTTATGATAACAGTCCAAAAACTAATACACCCAAATTTATGTTATAGAAAAATTGTAAATACAAATTTTAAAAAGAGGAAAAATCAAGAGAAAATTTGTAGGTTGTTGCAATATTTTGCTTAAAATTAATTGTATTTTCTTTCAATTTCTAGATATGTTTGGTGACTAAAATATTATTTTGATAAATATATCTGTTTAATAAATATGTTTCGTTTAAATGCACCAAAATACGTTGCCTATATTCACTGAGAAATGGATAAAAATAATAATTTTCAAATTGGGTTGTACTCAGTTATGCTGAGCACTGTAGTTTAATGAGCTAAAAGTCCTCAGGCACCTGTTATGCCCCAACACAAGATGTAAATTAAGTGTTCGCTGTCCCTACAATACACATGTGAAGTCTCAGCTAAAAACACATAAATAAAACAAGATAAGATAAAAACAAATACAGAGCAAGGAAATTTTCACAGTATGTCTGATAATATTTTTTCTTCTGGAGAAAGTCTTATTTGATTTATTTCAGCTAGAATAAAAGCAGTTATTAATTTAAAAAAATATATTTTTGGGACAAAATTATTAGCCACCTTAAGCTAATTTTTTTTTTCTGATAATCTACAGAACAAACCATCGTTATACAATAACTTGCCTAATTACCCTAACCTGCCTAGTTCACCTTATTAACTTAGTTAACCCTTTAAATGTCAGTTTAAGCTGTATAGAAGTGTCTTGAAAAATATATATGTATATTTTACAATTACATTGCTTTAATTGGAGATTACTCCCTGTTTATGTGTAGTTCACTGGTGATCTGGGACTTATAGCCAGGACAGACTACTGTGCGTATTTTAGAAATAGGACAATAGATATATTTTTTAATAGATATATATGTTTTTTAAAGAAAAGTTTAGTTGAATTAAAAAGTGCACCTACAAAGCTATATTTTTTTTGTTTTGACACATTAAAAATAGTGGCTAAGAAATACTTATTTGGTGTGGTCAGAGATAAGTTTGGTAAATTCTTAATTTAGAGCCTTGAAAAGTTGTGAAATATAAACTGATTGCATTGCGACAACCTATTTGCTCATGCACACTGAGCAAGCTAATACATACAATATTCTCAAGAAGTTAAATGAAAGAGGCGGCATGTGGACACATAACACATAACACATAACACAACAAATCAAAGTCATTTTAGCATGTCAAAGTAAAATTTATGCATATAAAATATATTTTCCCAACAAGAAAAGTGTGGCTAGTGAAAATGGTGAGTGGCTAGTAATGTTGGAAATCTACTAGCAACAGTGGCTGGTGATCAAAAAAGTTAATGTCAAGCCCTACATAATACATACATATTACATACATAAATAATGGGTAACAACAATAGCCAAATTAGTGTTCAAATTAATTTTAAAATAGGCCACTTTTGGTGCTTCACCCCTTTTTATTGATCATTTTTATTTTTTAAGAGTAAAGAGTAAAGTCCAAGATTTAGAATAGAAGTAAACTGTTTTTCTCTATAGATTGTATGTTTTCTTACACAGCTGGATATTAGCATTGGTCACAACTGATTAGCCGAAGTCACACTGAAGCCACAGCCAACAGAGGGTTCTGCTTGGTCTTACAACCTTTTTCGATGGGATATTTTAACTATTTATGATGACATAGCAGGACATAGGTCAAATATATATATATATATATTATTAAAGGCTGGCTATTCACACACTGTTGCCACACAACTGTCATTAAGATTTTTGCATATAGGTCCTCTTTAAAATGTGACCAAATTGTTTGATTATTATTCATTATAACATACTCAATTAGTTTCACACTCATTTTGCAGATACCCAGAAAGCAATGGCTATGCTCATTGCAACCTTCCACAAATACTCAGGAAAGGAGGGTGACAAGTTGACCCTTTCTAAGGGTGAGCTTAAGGAGCTGCTCACTGCAGAGATGAGCGATGTCTTTGGGGTGAGAGACTGCACAATTTTTTGTCATAGACTGACCAGCTGAAAAAAAATTTTTATGCCATTGACATTTTATTTAAAATTCTTAATTTAATGTTCTTTTATTAACTAAATCTGATAATAAATAAACTGTGAACTAAAACTAATATTTTAGCACATCATTGTACTAACTACACTTTTTTTGTGTTGTGTTTGATAAAGAAAACTACAGACAAGGCATCTTTGGACAACATATTCAAGGATCTGGATGCAAATGCTGATGGCTCGGTGGACTTTCAGGAGTACATCACATTGATCGCCTGTATCACAATGCTTTGCAATGAGTTTTTCCAAAAAGGAAAATAAGTGTGTTCTTATGGTTGTGTCTGTAATATTATTGTACTGAAAAAAGAATAAAGGTACACATAATAAATTGTGAATTAAAATTTAATGTGCACTGATTAATATATATATATATATATATATATATATATATATATATATATATATATCACACCAAGCCTTAAGCAGCCTCACAGCTGTTAGCAAGAGAAATAAATATTCGTTATATGAGCCGTTATGAGAAGTCAGACATATGAAACATTCAGCTTTCCTAAAGCTCAGCCCATGTGCAGCAGAATACAATACAGATCACATACTGTAACACACTATAACATTGACACAATATCAAGATAGAAAAAAATGACATTAGAAATTTAAATTAGAAACCCCCACTCAATGCTCTATCTCTCTCACACACACACACACACACACCTGTATTTGATGTATTTTAACCAGCATTTCAAATGCAGCTTAAGTGTTAAGCTAAGACTCATGCCTAATGCCTTTTTAATATATTTTTTCCACATCTTTCAAGTGCCTTGGACTGATTTTTGCTATTTATTCTGCCTAATGTTAATAAGTGCATTATTCCAACTGTTAATTCTTTACACAATCAACTCTTGAAGAAGCTTGTCTTATGTTATTGTCATGATAAAAATGCTATAGAAACACTTTTGTGTTTATGTAAGAAATATTCTTAAATTTTTGTCTGAATATCGGACAAAAAATGTATTTTTAATCAACATGATAAAACAATAGTATCTGGACGCAGACTTGCATATGCACACGGAGACACAGTCCCAGACATGCTCGCAATCTTAGGTGTTCTGACAATCCAAGTAAATGTCTCCATCTTGTGGTTGCCTTTATTGTTAAACTGATACTTTAGTCATAAAGACTAAACTTTATCTCATTGAAATATGTAACAGTGAATGAATTTAATCAATTTAGAACATTCATATGTTTTATCCATTTGATATACATGTCACTCAATGTATTTGTGCACTTGTTTAAACTAAACAGAATCCCAACTCAGTTTTAAAAAACATTCTTAGTTTGCACAGTTGCCTAAAAACTAGTTAAACTTTGTAAGGAGGGTAACATTTTCCATGTTTCTCTCAGTCATTATAGAAGATTTTGCAATACATTTTTAAAACAGCTTTAAACACTTAATATATTTCATAAGCCTTACAAACACCTATAAACAAACAACTAATGACAGGTCAGCTGTTCATTGGGTGAAAATGAAAACAAGAATTCAAATTCTATAAGGCAGAGGAGAAGCCACCAGTCAGTGAAGATCACCTCCCAAAGACACAATAATTAGGTGTACATTTTGGTCCTCATTTACATTATACACCATTAAATCTACTGGTTCTCAACTGATTTGACCATTGGACCATTTGGATTTTTATATGGGTATTAAGATATGATCAAATTCCTATATCAATTTAAATAATTTTATTAATACTGATAAATAAACTATAAAAAGGTTAGTATATTAAATAGCAGCCCCCCAAACTAGTTTTTGCTAATAGAGTAAAATCAGTACATTATTTATGAGACAAAAAAAATCTAATAAAATATTACACAGTGACGGCAACATAGTACTAATTACTCAACATGTCGAAGAAATTGCTTCTGATTAAAAGAATCTAAAAACATATACAAATATGTTTATACAAATATAAACATATACAAATTAACATATACAACAAATACCTGCATGCAAACCATTCCCACATAGATTAATATTAGTTCCTTTTAGTAATTTCTAGACTTACTGAGAGTATAACTGCAATGTTGCATTCAAGCATATAATGTTTCCCAAACAATCTTAATATGGCCATTTGGTTCTCATTTGGGACATTCTGCCAGAAACTTACATTTTCACTTATTAAAATGTGACAGGGCCTGACCTTTAAGCTTGTCTTCCTCGAGAAATCATAAAAAACAAACATGAAATCATACAATTCAATGATAGAATGCATACTTGATCACTGTCAGCTTCTCCACAATCAAATGATGTCATTTCCGAGTCATAGTCTTAAAGGTGTATTGCACGCATTTTATGTTAAATTTAATACAAATATGACAGGACTGACAGAAACATGGGGACAATTGTAAAAGTATTTGTAGTATATATATATATATATATATATATATATATATATATATATATATATATATATATTAGGGATGTAACGGTATTGTAAATACCGTCATACCGCAATATTAATTTTTTTCGATATTACCGAAGTCGCATGACTCGGTAAAACTATAGGTCTTCTGAGAAAATTTGCTCAGGCGAATGAAGCGAACGGGAGGTAGCTGAAACTTCATTTCCCATCAGCCCCGGCGTGGCCATAATCCTTTGCGGTCTGTTGTCGCTACAGATCCAGTAATGCGGAAATGGAGTGTGCTGCTAGTAGCGGAGATGAAAAAAAGATGGAAATGATCGAACCTAAAGCGGGTGTTGTCGCCGCGCGCGTGCTGAATAGCGGTGCTGTCGCGCGCGTTCTGATCAGCTGTGTTGTGGCGCGCGTATTGTAAAGCGCCGAGGGGGGGTTGAGCGCGCATACTCAAGAGAGGTGTTATCGCGCGCCTACTGAAGGGCTGGACTGGACGGAGGTTGTGTCGCGTCGCGGGGGCACTTTTGATCGTTTTGGAAGGGCATTTTCTATCCAAGACTAAAAAGGGCATGTGCACTGCACAGGTTGAGCCCTGTGTGTGCACGTGCCTGCAAGTTGGGGAATACGACTAATAACAGTCATGGGGACTGCAGAAACACAGCACACTGTTCAGATTGATGCAGACATTGACTTGTACCGCAAAGAGATCTCTATCTCACTCATGGTTTGTCCTCTCAAGTGGGGGAAAGACAATGCACAACGTTAACCACTGCTGTCAACATGGGCCAAGTCATATCTCTCTTGTCCCAGAATCCTCAGTCCCAAATGAGAGGGTTTTTTTCTGTTGCAGGGGACATTGTAAATACCCAGAGATACCAGCTTTTACCAGATTATAGTTATATGATAATTTTCCTTTAAACCCATCTCTATCTAAGTGAGTGATTAAATGTTAAATGTGATGAGTTTTCAACAATACTAAATTGAAACTTTATTTTTTTACATGGTTTAATAATTTTTTGTTATTAAAATTGAATTTCCTGTTTCAAAGCTAACAGATAGATGGCTAATTTGTATGTCATTGACACTTTTGGCACTTTTTTGGAGTATTTTCAAAAGTTTTTTTTTTTTCCTGCAAATGATTCAATAAATACCGTACCGTGACATTCATACCGAGGTATTACCGTACCGTGAAATTCTGATACCGTTACATCCCTAATATATATATATATATATATATATATATATATATATATATATATATATATATATATATATATATATATATATATTTGTAGATTTTATAGTTCATTTTATGTTTCTAATAAATTGATGTGAATGATACAAAAACTGTTATTAAAACAAAACCATTTAAGCTGTAGGCTCAATTGGGCTGAGGACAAAAACAATAACAGGGTTTGTACATTTGTAATGTGTTTTTAATGAAGAAGAAAAAAAAAATCTGAGAACCAAATAAATGACATTTTCCTTTACAGAGCAACTCACAGAAATCAACCATCAGTACATTTTAGAAATTGTTAGAATGAAATACTTTTTATTTACTGTATTTATCTTTTTATTTCAGAGACAGATGTTGTACGTTTCAGATAGAATCCATCATTTGATTATTTTTATTTTTTAAAATAACCAAAATAAGAACAATCTGGGAATGTTTTCAAACAACATCCTCACATTGCCGTTTTTTGTAACTTTAATCTGAAAGAGTAGCAGTTCTCGAAAAGACAACAGTCTTTTTTTAAAATAAACTCTGATTCACAAAAACATATTGATCCATTAAAAAATTATTATTATTTTGTTGATTACATAGGCATTATTCAAAATCTTAAGAGTAGTTTCCATCACTTTTGGTAGAGTTAGCATGCCGATTTGTGTTCAGGTTGCCAATTCATTTTTCCCCTCTTCTTATTTGTTTATTACTTTTGGTTTGGTTTACATTTGTTGGATCTAAATAAGAAAATTCTGTGAAAGCTTTCTGTAGATTTTTTGTTAACTGGTTTGAGAAAGTTGCAGAGGTTTTCTTTTTGTTGTAACAATATAAAGGCAGACTAATATATATATATATAAAGATTCCACTTGAAGCTACGTTATATATATAAATATAATAATGATAATAAAAAAATCTTCACTATAATCAACTAGGATGGTGATAAAAGCCTAAACTTTTAAACAGAGCGTGTTTAGACAATGTAAGCATCTACCTTTGTATTTATTTACGTCATTTTGAAAAATATTCCACTTACTCCTCTACATCTGCATTAAAGTAAACTACAACAACGATTTACACGTTACAGTGATTTCTACCTAAAGTTATTGTCGTCTTATTTCGTTTTGGATTCGCTTTATGTTCTGTTTTAGATCGCCTTCCGCACTACATGTCCCATGGTGCACTGGTTTGTTGTTACGTGATAGAAGTAACTTTCAAGGCACGCAAATGCAGCAGCGTCTCGTGATGGGGGCGGCTTGGCGTCAGTCTTTCCCGTCTGGAGTCTGACGCACTCCGCCAGCCAATAAGCTCATGTAGCACTTCGGCACCCGTGCCCGTTGTGGAGGCAGGATTTCTTCAAATAAAAATGGCAGATGTTGTCGAAGGAGACGGCACTCGCTCCGCTGCCCCTTCCGCTATTCATTCAGCGGCACGCAACGGATCTGGCATGAGCGCGGGGACTTGCGCCGGGGGCCTCGTCGCGACGACGGTCACCTCCGGGCCGCGGCTGGTCCGCATCGTTAAGTCGGACTCGGGCTACGGATTCAACGTCCGCGGGCAAGTCAGTGAAGGAGGGCAACTGAGGAGCATCAACGGCGAACTTTACGCCCCGTTGCAGCACGTTAGCGCCGTGTTACCTGGCGGCGCAGCAGACCGAGCCGGGATCTCAAAGGGCGATCGTATTCTTGAAGTGTAAGTTTATATGTAACGTAAATAATCTGTGGAGACGCGCTGTCCACATCCACCACCATCCCGTGTTAAACAGACAGGGGCCAAATGTGTTCCCGAACACCTTAAGTGAAAGCCAACATTGTTTCTGAGACACTGCAACGCTTCGGGAAAGAGAAATATCGCTGTAATCCAGTACAACTGCTAACGTGGCTAATAAGTGGGTTGATGTAAATTGGAGTGAGCGGCTGAAAGTTAGCCAGCCATGTCACTGCAGCACTATATTTCATCTCCTTGGTCTTTAAACATGCAGTGTGTACAAAATACAGTGTTTTTATGAGGCATACAAATGTGTTTGACCCTCCATGTAAACGTCCAGGCTCTACACCTTTCAAATGTACCATCCTGTATGCTTTACATTTAGCCAAATATTGTCATAGTCCCCTGCTTCCAGACAGAATTGGCTTTGTTTGTTTTCAATGCAGTCCTCCAACGTTTACATCACGTACAAGACTTATTTCCTTTTAATTGAATGGGAAAAGATGCACTGAAAGTAAATGTTGTCTCTCACGTTTTTTATTATCATGTTTCTCGAAGGAAAGTAAATCATGTGGGTTTGAAACAACATGAGGGCGAGTAAATGATGACACACTTTTGGTTTGAGCCTGAACTCTCCCTTTGCGCACTGTGTCTCTGCCTGTCATATGCATCGTGTGTATGTCTCTGCGTGAATGGCTGCTTCATTTCCACCAGATAAAGGAGGTTTGTGTTTGGACGCGTTTGTCTTCATTGTAGATTCAGGTCACATACAGCACCGTGAACAGACAAGCTCTCTCATTCCTTCTCATCTCGCTGTAGCTGACTGTGTAGCGTTTGGAGCGATACTGGGTCAAAATCCGCAAGAAATAAACCACACTGGACAATTAGACAAGAGGAGGCTTTTATTCACACACTCATTTTCAGTGACTGGCACATGCTTATGACCGTGGTGAACTCAAACATTTGCAGCACGATTATGTAACTGCAGTCTTGTTGTCTGCGGACTACATTAGACCATGTCTATTAGGTGGAGCGTCTGAGTTGTTCTGTTTGGTTGTGATTTATTGTTTGTGGATGCTGTTGCGTCTCCATTCTGCACTGGAATGGTTCCGGATGCATGTTAATATTCACAAGGCACCTCATTGATGCTGGCATTGGTTGCCATGGTGACAAGTGGTTTCCGTGGCGTTAAAGGCGACAGAGCTCAGCATCAGCATCAGTCAGTGTAAACTCAGGACAGAGACGGGGGCAAAGCACTGCTCATTAACTCTTTCTGTCTTCTGTTTATGAATGTTTTAATATCATACCTAAACAAAAAAAGTCTCCATGCACATTTGAAACAAAACATTCTGAAAAGGTTTTGCAAAGCACCCACAGAAACAAGAATTTTTTACATTTAATATCAGCAGAGCCAGTGTGTATTTCTTTCATTTACAGTTTTTCACACTTTCTAGACTTAACTTAAATGGTTAAAATACACATAATTAATCAAAGGCATGGCCAATAAGTATTTTTATAAAAAAATTTTATTATTATGACTAATAATAATATACTTTGTCAACTTCTTTAGTTTAAACTTTGATTAAACTTTTTGTTATTTTAATCCTCTTTAGTAGTTATTTTTTGTTGTTCTTCTAAGTCACTCTGTAAGAAAAGTTTAGGTTTGAGTTCACTTTGCATTGTAGAGCAAAATGTTGAAGCACCGTCACATCATGTTATGTTTACCTCAGACTTTATTTATATGAAACAGAAGCATGTGATGAGTAATGCCTTCATGTTTTAAATGTTTTTAGCGAGGAGGTCAAATTTTGATCTTCTATTGGTCTCACTTATTGATCACATGATGTGAATTCGCAGGTCAGAGTTCACCAATGTTGAAATTAGGGCTGGCCGATTTGGCCTAAAATCTAAATCTCGATTAACTGGACATTTTAACTCGATTACGATTAATGGACGATTATTTTATTGATTTATTTTATGTTTTTGTCTTCACAGTTCACTGAAAAGTTTTGTACAGTAAATATGCTAACATATTACAAGTGAGAGAGCAACGCAGTGGCACAGTAGTGCTGTCGCCTCACAGCAAGAAGGTCGCTGGTTCGAGCCCCACAGTGGTTTTCCCCTACAGTCCAAAGACATGCGGTACAGGTGAATTAGGTAGGCTAAATTGTCCATAGGGTATCTGTTTGAATGAGTGTGTATTGTTGTTTCCCAGAGATGGGTTGCAGCTGGAAGGGCATCTGCTGCGTAAAAACGTGCTGGATAAGTTGGCGGTTCATTCCACTGTGGTGACCCCGCATTAATAAAGATGCTAAGCCGAAAAGAATATGAATGAATGAATGAATTACAAGTGAGAGATTTTTAAATGTGGGGTAGATTACTTGATTTTAAAATAATTTGAGGGAACACACTATTTACTATCTGTAATTATTTATTGAACATCAACATTGAACAACTGTAATTAAAACACACATTGCCTTAAAAAAACAGTCAAAAAAGAGCTAGGAAATAGGGTTAGGCGATGATGACCAATTTGGCATCGTACGATGTCTAATATGAAACATTGTGATGGACAATGGCATCTTCGTCATAGGCGGCGGTAAATAATTATGAACAATTATTTAATTCATACCGAATTAATTACTTATAGCCTACAATTTTAACTACCTGACCTGCATGGTCTTTGTTTTACCCATAAACAAATCATACAGTAAATGAATAAAGATAAGTTACACACATAATTACCACCTGTCTATCCCTTTTTCTGCAGGACACGTAAATAGGCAGTGTGATCTGGGTCGTTATAATGGCGTCCACAAACTTAGTTGGTAAAAGGTGCACAACCAACAGGAACCAACCAACAGTGTCTGAGGTGTTTGCTAAAATTACTAAGTACAAGTGTGAAAGTGAAAGATTTAAGCAGTCTACTGACCCGCTGACTGCCTGGACCCGCTGTCTCGAGCGCATGACAGTGTGTGTGCGTCTGTGTCTGCCTGTGTGTGTGGTCACGTAATGTGCGTTTTCAGCGGTAGTGTGAAAGGAGGGCTGCTCAGAAATGCTAAACGCCAGTGTGGATGTGGATTCTTTTCGTTCTAATGCCATTTAAAAACTAAGACCTATTAGTGTAAACAGGGCCTGAGTGTATTTTTCACGAGTGGATCTGCAACGGTGGCGGGGCAGAGGATCGCGATGCCGGCTCAGCATCGTGGTGTCTGTCAGCCAACGGCGATGGATGATGGCAACGTCTATCGGCCTAACACTACTTGGAAAAGTAATTGAAAAAAATGACCTGGAAAAATTTGATCAATTATAGATTCTGAATATTGAATTCGATTACTTTTCAAATAATCACCCAGTCCTAGTTGAAATGTGAAATTTCTTTGCATAGGCTTGCATTTCTGCTGTGATGCATTTACATTTGTATGAATGGAAGTCAATGGAACAAAAAAAGTGTGACTGGCTTTGTTTCTGGGTTTGGATGTCATCCCTGCAGCGCTGTATATACAGTACCTGAATGAATCTAAAGACTGATTTCTACTTCTGCATTGAGTGATCAGCGTGATCCACGGCGCCTGCCTTGTGGGTGCTGTGCATTTATACTTCTGTTTGCTGTGTTTGTTGCTCTGCAATAACACTTCCGAAACGCAAGCTGAAAGTAGGTTTTTATGTTTCTGTGTATAGTTTCTTTGTGGGTATTATGTTTTTCTGAATGTTCTACCAGTAGCTAAAACTCGCTCATTCAGAGGTGGGAACCAGCAGACGTGCAACAAATTTAATCATAAGGTAAACACAAAATAAAAGCTTACATCTGGGGCCTGTTTCAGAAAAGAGGTTAGTTGAAAACTTAGAGTATTTTAACCCTGAAATGAGAGAAACTCTGGGTTTTCCGTTTCAAAATAGCAGGGGTTGTCACACCCGAGAAGGCAGGGTAAGTCAAGCTTGCTCCTGAAATAGAGTTAACTATAACTCTGAGTCAGTTACCGTGGTAGCTTACTCTGTGAACCTAACCTGGTCAGGAGCAGGTTTTATTCTCTAAACTCTAAGTTTCTATTGGTCTCCGATTTTTTTTTTAAAGACAAAGCGGTATTTCTCGCCTTAGCCTTACATTTCCAACAACCAATTTGAATGCTCATTTTGGATATGCGCATAAAAAAATGATGAAAACGTCATGATGGACATAACTTTTAAAAATAGGCATAAAAAACATGCACATAACCGAGTAGGATAAACTTTTATTCGATAAGAAAAGATGCGTATAAACTGCAATGGAAACACTTTTACTGATCAAGTTCCATATGCACATTAAAAAGGTTTGTTATAAGTGATCATATGAAGATGAAAATGTGTGTGAATGGACAAACCAGCAGGCTGAGCGCACCGTAAAACATCTGAAATGTTGTTTTGGTCATTCTAAAATGCCTTAACCATGTCAGTATTAATGTTGTTATATTATTAATGACCTCCAGAAAGTCTGGAGCGTGTCAAGAGCATCTGTTCTCTGCGTCTCATGGCTTTAAATGCCATCACGTGTTCATTGTGTATCAGCATTGTACGTTTATTAAATAAAGAAAAGATTTATGCAGCTTCCTCTACCTCTGCAAATTCTGGTTTTACTGTTGATATTTGGTAGCGTATTTTATGTAATTTAATACAATTAAAAATTAAAATTAAAAATTAATGCAAATTCCCCACTTTTTCTTGTAAAAATTTTATAAACGTCACACACTACATTACTTATTTTGTTATACTTAAATATTGAAATACTTTAAATGTAAAATTACACATTAACTTGAGCAGCTATGTTTTCCCACACTAACTGTCAGTGTTTAACTGATGCACATTTTGGTGGCTTATATCAAAGATCTTGTGCTTTCAGCCATGACCCAAAGCTCATGACCATAGGTGAGAGTAGGAACGTAGATTGATTAGTAAATCGAGAGCTTTGCCTTTCGGCTCAGCTCCTTCTTTATCACAACGGACCGGTATCCATACATTACTCACATTCTATCCTTCCCTCACTTCTGAACAAAACCACAAGATCCACCTGGGGCAAGGACTTTCCTTCAACCTGGAGATAGCAAGCCACCTTTTTCCGGTGAAGCACCATAGTCTAGAACTTGGAGATGCTGATTCTCATCTCAGCCTCGTTCTAACACTCGGCAACAAACCTCCCTTGTGCATGTTGAAAGTTCATGTCCGATGAGGCCAACAGAACAACATCATCTGTGAATAACAAAGTACATTTTCGCCAAATGACTTAAATAGCTCTATTTAGAAAGAACTCATTCATTTAGGTTGATCTGGGTGCTTCTGTAAGGGAGTGAACCATGCACAAAATTTAATAAAGAAATTGCAAGCATGGGTAAATGGAGTGGTGCGGTGAAATGCTAAAAGTGAAAGTGCTAATAGTGAAATAAATGGTGCTTTATGGTTTTCTGGGAAGTTAAACAGTATTCAGGTACAGAAATTGAATAATCAAATCATTTAAATGCTCACACAGCCACAGGCCATGAAAAGACACGCAGACAATAAGCTTTTACTCTATTATGGTTGATCTCTGCAATACTCCACAAATCTAATGTGTTCTGAACTGTGGTTCCTGCTAAACCTTAATAGCACTCAACATTGGACATCCTGTGATGTGACTAAAGCAAATATGATTTGATATTGATGCTGGAATATTACTGTGTTTATGTTATAAATATGCATTGTTAAAGCTAAATGTTATGTCAAATGGGGCTACACAATATTGGATAAATCTGACATTGCAATATTTTGGTTTTCCACGATTATACATTGCAATATGAATATAATTGCACAAGATGACTCTGAAAATAATTTAGAATTTTACATTGTTTGGGATGATTTTGTAGGGAAGTTCACCTGCATAAAAAAAATTTAAATTTATCGAAAAGATTATATTGAAAGATAATGCATTGAAAACAATAAGGCAAGTTTATATGGCACATTTCATACACATGGTAATTAAAAGTGTTTTACATAACCAAGAATAAAAGAAACCAGGATAAAAATGATTAGAACAAAGATAAAAATGAAGTAATCAGGGCATTATGGTTTTTGGTGGAGTCTAACAATATTATGGTACAGGATTTCATTAAATTAAAGATAAAATAACATGGTGTAGTGTTCTTTGCGTAAATAATTAAATAAACCTTGAATAGTGCCAATTAAAAAATTTTTTGTGCCCAAATGATTCAAATTCACTTGCGATGTGACTTGCAGATTTGCACATTGCCATATTGATGCTGAAATGATATATTGTTCAGCTTTCAGATGTGGAAGTGCTTTTGGACTGAGGCAGTTTGGGAGCAGTTTATCCTGCTCTCCTCTATTCTATGAACTGTCAAAGAGAAGAAGAACGTAGGCTGGGTTAGAGACATAGTTGAAATGCCTCCATGGGCAACAAATAAAATGGTTCACTTGCTCTTTTATTCACTGTAAAGGGAAAGAGTGAGGATGCGGTTGGTTCAGCCTTTCTGAGAGTGGCTGATCGAGAAAATCTTTGAGTGTCTGTGAGAAACAAAAGATTGCATGTTAATGCACTGATGATTGTGGTTGAGTAATTCTTGAACACTTTGTTTGTACCATTGATCTTACATTGTATTTGCTGAAAACTTTTTTTGGACAGCTTGTTTGCTTTTGAGGTACTTCTTAGGTCATCAGGGTAGAAGACTTTTGATTAAGTCCTTCTCAGAGAACTTTGGCAGTAATGAAACCTGATTTTAAGCAGAAGTAAATAATAAAAAAGAAGATGAATATATGTGATATATATTCATTCATTCATTCATTTTCTGTTTCGGCTTAGTCTCTTTATTAATCTGGGGTCGCCACAGCAGAATAAACTGCCAACTTATCCAGCACGGAAAATGTGTAGAAAGGTGTTGTTAATTTTTTTCTTTTCTTTCTTTTTGTTTATTTATTTATTTATTTTACAATAAATGATAATTAAGAAACTGTTATTAAATATCTAGTACAACTGACTTTTTTTCTACTTCAGTACAAGATTAAAAAGATGTTTAGTTGAAACTATTCTAGGTGATTTAATAAAAATTAAAGCGAACAGTGATACAGGCTCTTTATGATACAGTACATTGTACATTGACTGTTGCCATGAATAGCCAATGCTGCTGATATGGCAATAAAACAACTTCATTCATGTTTAGCTGCTTTGACACAATCTACCTTGTGAAAAGCTCTATAGAAATAAAGATGAGTCGAATTAAATTTTTAAAGAGAACAAGGCTGGGATGAGAATCAGATTTCTGACTGGTCTCTTTAAAAATATTAAGTTGCAGTGGGTAGCATGATCGCATCAAAGCAAGGAGGTTGCTGGTTTGAGCCTCGGCTGGGTTAGTTGGCATTTCTTTGTGGAGTTTGTATGTTCTCCCTATGTTCGCATGGGTTTCCTCCGGGTGCTCTGGTTTTCCCCACTGGTCCAAAGACATACGGTATAGGTGAATTAGGTAAACTAAATTGCCCATATGTATGACTGTGAATGAGTGTGTATGGATGTATCCCAGTGATGGGTTGCAGCTGGATGGGCATCTGCTGCATAAAACATATACTGGATTAGTTTGCGGTTCTTTTCGCTGTGGTGACCCCAGATTAATAAAGGGACTAAGCTGAAAAGAAAATGAACAAATAAATGAATATATTTAAATTAATTAATTAAGATGTTCTCATGAGATGACTGAGAAGGTCTTAATCAAAGTCATCTGCCCTGATAACCCTGGAAAAAAAGGATTTAAAGGAATACTGGTCTGTCAAATAACGAACATTACTTGAGAAATATTTTAAAAAGAATAGAAATGGCTAATAATAATTTTGACCTACTATATATGTTTTAGACAGACAAAGAAAACAAATTTTAGTGTTCATATAATATTTCCTAAAAAAAGTTTTCTTCAGGAGAAAGTATGAATTATTTTAGTTTGTCTGAAATAAAATCAGTTATTTTTCTCAAAACAACCACTTTAATTTAAAATTAAAACGTGATATAATATTATATTATTATTATTATTTATTATTATTTATTAATTTTATTTATTTATTTTTTCATTCATGATCATGTGATGGCAAAGCTGAATTTTTAGCACCCTTTATTTTTCATTATTACAAATAATGTAACATTGTTTTGGCACTCAAGAATTAAACTTTTTCATCAATGTTGGACAATGGATGTGCTGCTTAATTTTTTCTGTAAATTTTAATTTTGTAAACAATGCAAGTGCATCAGCGTTTCTTTCTGAATGCGTTCTTTTTTTCATTTGTTTATATTAGTTATAATCTGTCGTTTTTTAGAAAACAAGAAAACAAGTTGGAAATTATAGCTAATTATGTAACTCTATATTCATTCATTTTTGTTTTTTTTATGAAAAGGACATTTGGTACAAATTTGTCTAGTAGTTTATAACTCTTACTCTTGCTTTCAAGGTTACATTTCTAAGTTTTCTTTAAAAAAAAAAAATTTAAAAAAAAAAAATTTCTGTGGAATCACAGCACAGGACTAAAAGAGTGGGTAGCAGTTCTTTCAACTCTCCTGAAACTCTTATGCTGGCAGAAGCCCAGCTTGCTGTATTTATTATTGAGCCCTGAAAAGATTAGACCAGGAAAAAGGAGACCTAGGAACCTCACCCTAGTAGTAGTTAAGATTTAGGAGACATCTGATCTGAACCTAACTCTCTAAAAGCTCCCAGAAAGCCAGGATTTCTAGCATTAACCATTTGACATCACATTCATCGAAGGTGTTGGCTGAGAGCATAAGCTTAATTCTGTAACCAGATCCTTCTTTTTGTCCACAGAAACGGGGTGAATGTGGAAGGGGCCACTCATAAGCAGGTGGTGGATCTAATTCGAGCAGGAGAGAAGGAGTTGGTCCTGGCCGTCCTGTCAGTTCCGCAGCCAGAAACAGACAGTCTTGATCCTGGAGACGACGGCTCCTCACAGTCCTGCTATGACTACAGTGACAAGCAGGCCGTGCCCATCTCTGTGCCCACTTACAAACACGTGGAGCAGAGTGGGGAGAAGTTTGTTGTGAGTGCTGTGCCTTTTTTATGCCACAATTAAGTCTGATGTTATCCCCGGATAATTTCAGAATTATTTTCCTTTATTGTGTGTGTCAGGTCTACAACGTGTACATGGCAGGCAGGCAGTTATGCTCAAAGCGCTATCGGGAGTTTGCCATCTTGCATCAGAATCTAAAGAGAGAATTTGCCAACTTTGCATTTCCCAAGCTGCCAGGGAAATGGCCTTTCTCCTTGTCTGAGCAACAGCTAGATGCTCGCAGGCGAGGCCTGGAGGAATACTTGGAGAAAGGTAGGAGAAGATGGCACAGGAAGGGGTTTTAAGATGAAAATCTGGAATATAATTGTTAACGAATGTTTCCAACATGTTCATTTCACTAGTATGCTCTGTTCGGGTAATCGGGGAGAGCGACATCATGCAGGAGTTTCTGTCGGAGTCTGATGAGGTAAGCCATTTTGTGTAGTAAAAGTAAACTGAACTGAAAACTACACTGAACTGTGATTACTGAAACAAAGTGGTTTTAATTGACCACAACTTCATTAATGTTAAGCTGCTTTAAAACAATCTACATAGTAAAAAGCTCTATAGAAATAAAGATGAGTTTAATTCAATTTTTAAAGAGAGATCAGTCAAAAATCCTCAGGCCATCTAAGGCAGAGGCGTCAAACTCCGGGAGGGCCACAGCTCTGCACAGTTTAGCTTTAACCCTAATTAAACACACCTGATCAAACTAAGAGTTCTTCAGGCTTGTTTTAAACCTCCAGGTAAGTATATTGAAGCAGGGTTGGAACTAAACTGTACAGGGCTGCGGCCCTCCAGCAAGTTTGACACCCCTGATCTAGGGTATTGCTGACTTTTTAATAATTTTTATTTGTTTATTTGTTACTTCGGTACAAGATTAAAAAAAGATGTTTAGTTGAAACTCTTCTTGGTAATTAATAAAATTCAAGTGAACAAAAATTATACCCAGGCTTTTTATGATACAGGACATTGACATCTTATGAATTAAAACATCAGTCAGTCTTTTCAGGAAAATTAACATTGTTTACAATGCTTTTACCTTTAAGGGCTGGGTCATACCAAGCTGACTCCAAACAACTAGCACTACTGATACCCAACTGTGCTGTTGACTAACTCACGTATAGACCAAAAGCTGTGCATGAACACACCTAATGGATAAAAGCTGACTGAAACGAGAGCGGCTCTAAAAAAGCGGTTCTTTCTGCTCCGCGGAGGGCAGTAGTCTGTTTTCTCATTCTGCAAAGGGAAATCGAAATTCCGACACACAGACAAAGCGTATACAAAGTAGCTTTTAGTATTATTGTCACAGTAATTGTCCCTCACCAAAGAGGGATTAGCTCGTCCAAATATGTCCCATAATTTAATTATCCACATCATTTGCAAATATTTAAAGGGCACCTGTTTTACCCCTTTTACAAGATGTAAGATAAGCAATTGGTGTCTACCGGAATGTGTCTGTAAAGTTTCAGCTTAAAGTACGCATCAGATAATTTATTATAGCCTAAGATTCTGCCCATTTTGGTGTCTGAATACTCTGTAGCTGTTTTTGTAGCCTGTGGTTTTAAATCCAAATGAGCTGCTTCTCCCCACCCCCATATGCGTGTCTGCTTGTGTGTTACGTCAGATAAACAGCACAGTGACAGACAGACTTGGATGAAGCTAAAATACAGCTCATTAGTCAAAAATACCAATTAAATTTATTTGATGTATTTGTGTTGGAGTTTATTCAAGCCTTTCTGAAATGAGTCACACACAAATGCTGTTTGCAGTGCACACACACACACACACACACACACATACACATATTAGCGTTTATTTACAACATGCAGCTGTGGTGATTATAGCGGTTAAGAATTACATATCGATTTTACTGTCTTTGTTACTAACATGCTCTGTTTTAAAAGCGTTTTAAACTTATAAAACTTATAAAAATCACAGAGAGTTGTAACATATTAATTCCAGTTCATTTGCAAAAGTCATGTTCTGTAGATGTGTATACATGTTATTATAGAAACATTCAATTTGACTATAGAATCAATTTGGTGGGCGTGGAAAACCATGTTGCGGTGGGCCTCAAAACTACTTGGATTTGTGTCCTATTTTAACATCAGGAATTTTTTAAAAAGAGACATGTTAGGTTTATATGACTCCAAAATGAAAGTGGACATACCATACCTACAGACAGTTCTGTAAAACAGCTTCCAACAGTTGATTATCATCATAGGTGCCCTTTAAGAAATGTAGCTACATTGGCCTCTTTGTGACCCTACTTGGCTTGAATTGTTTACTTGCTTATGCTCTGATTTGTTGCTGAACAACCAGTCAGAGTGCTCTCTTCGGCCTGATGCCAATTCTACACATCGAATCCGGCCAATGAGCTCCACTGTTGACCTGATAAGAGGCAAAGTGTGGAACACACCAAATAAATTAGCTGGACAGGCGAAGCCCAATGGCCAACCATCGGCTAAGTGTGTCCTGGACCTAATCTGCACCCTCTGCAAAAACTACCCTGATAACCATCTATAGCACTAACTTCATCGATATGCAGATGCTGTTTGTTTGGAGGCTGAAACCCATTTAAAAAACAAATATTGTGAGCACACAAGCAATTTTGTGTCCGCATTATGAAAGTGTACAAAAAGAGCTTGCTGCTAAATGGAATGTTTACAGACGGAGGTGTCTAAACGACCTTCCTGCGTCTGAATATTCCTACTTGCATTCATGAATTAAGTGAAAAACAGTACGTGAGCTGAGAATGATATCAGAATTCATAGTATTCGTGAAACAAGTGACCGAAAGTTCCCAGATGACCTGCAACTTTCAGTGATGTTCTCACGACCACACACTAGCCCATCAGGCCACAGGAGAGGACTTATGAAAGGCAGTGAAGCAGCTGATGCAGTAAGACAGTGACAACAGGGCATGTAATATGTGCTGATTTTATTCAGAGAGTTATTTTTTTATTTTTCGTTAAATGTTTGCGAAGTAATTTCAATCCTATACATTCAATATAGTAAGTATAGGGTTGTCTTGGTGACAACATTTCTGTTGTGATATATTTAGATGATTCAATAGCGTGATTTATACGGTATTACCACCAAATATCCCCTCATATAAAGGTACAGGTGAATTGGGTAGGCTAAATTGTCCGTAGTGTGTGAATGTGTGTGTGGATGTTTCCCAAAGATGGGTTGCGGCTTGAAGGGCATCCGCTGCATAAAAAACTTGCTGGATAATTTGGTGGTTTATTCCGCTGTGGCGACCCTGGATTAATAAAGGGACTAAGCTGACAAGAAAGTGAATTATTTGAATAGCCTACATAAATTTTAGATTTTCATTTTCAGTTTGTTTCAATTTATTATTATTATTATTATTATTATTATTATTATTATTATTATTATAAAGTAATAGGCCTAGTATATGCACATATGTGTTTATATAAATAAATAAACAGATAAATAATTGAATAACCTAGCCATTAAATGTGCATTAGATTGTGAGAATCAGCTCTTTGGTAAAGATATGGCTACTGAGAAAGCACAGTTGATTTAAAAAGAAATCGCACATTTCCGCAGTAAAGTGCGTCAAAGCACAACATGGTCTAACACAAGAAATACATTGCCAGCAGGGGGCAGTTATGTAACATGGTGAGCATACTGAAATGATACAGTAAATTGAGCACGTAAGCTACCTGTAAACTGTGTGAAAACGGCATTCTTTAGGCAGCTGTGTGTATTATCTTTTACTATATAGTTTAACTGTTTAGAATGCCAATTTCAGAGTGTCTTTTTAGGCGAAGTGCAAATAGTGCACCTTGTTGGAACAAGCTAGTCAAGTGCTTCTCTCCATCGCCATGTTTTAAGGCAGTCGATCATTAACTCGGTTCGAATCCAGCGTCTAATGAACATGTGTTTCTTTTTCCCCCACTAAATAAATATAAACTTTGAGGATACAAATCCAAAGATTCAAATGTGATTCACATAGAATTATTCAAAGCTTATGCTTAACCTACATATTTGTCATGCAAATAAAACGGTAAGTGTAAAGCAATCCTGTTTTATATTATCACGTGGCTAACAATAACAATATAAACACAGTATTTTATTATTTGAGTAAGGTAGCTATATCTGAAGCTGAGGCATTAACTTAAAAAAAAACACAACACATCAACACGGGTCTTAAAAACGAAACGCAAGTTTATTGGTACTCTAAAACACAACAAACTAATCTACATATAACATACAAACGCACATACACACAAGAAGTTTGATGTGAGTTATGACGGTGAACGAGTAAGGATTCAACTTGGGGCTGGGCGATTTGGCAAAAAAAAAATCTAGGTTTTTTTATAAAGTTTGACCGATTTCGATTTTTTAAAAATTGTGTTACTAGTCTTCTCAAAACATTACAACAACATGACTGAAGTAACATTCTCTTTAAAAGTAACTTGAAAAACCATCTGGTTAAGGAACATTGTATATTTAATGGCCATGTCATACAAAAAACGGTTAAGGTGTAAATAAATGTAAAAAAAAATTTATGAGTTAAATAGCGTTGCTGAAGATTTGAATAAGAAATATTTGTGTAAATATTGCAGTTGCAGGAATACAGAGGTAGTTTTTAATTGGATGAAATTTTTTTTAGTCTTATGCCTTTCCCAGAATATAAAAATAGAGTCTGTTTTTTTTATCTCTAAATAAATGAAAAATAACTGTCTAGCCTACTTTTTAAAATATTTTTTGTTTATTAAATGAGAAATTCAATTGATAGTATATTAATTTTTGTAATTTTAATATAATTTTAAATTGAAATGACTTTGGCTACACTGCTTGTAGTGTACATAAAATTGATAGGTGCCGATTGTTCTTTTGCCAGATTTCCTTCACTAGATAGACAGCATAACAGAGGCCAAAAGGCTTTTTTTATCACTATCACAGCTGTGTTTGACAGATTTTGCTAAGGCTTCAGATTTTAGCTACTCCTGACTGTTGGCTAGTAGCGGCCTCAGTTGTCCTTTTTGAGGTTGCTCTATGATTTGCTTGTTAGTTGGGCAGCTGCGCTTCAATAGCTGCATGCAGACCTCAGATCTGATGTATTGCTGTGTGTCACAGGGACCTTTTATTTTGTATATTGGCTCATCTATATTGGCTTTTCGCTCAGTTGAAAGTCGAAATTTTGCCAAACTTGTGATATAACTTTTGGTTTTGGGACAAGAGTCTGTCATTGCCTCAAACACCGAATACAAACAGTTGGCAGGGGGAAAAAATCACATTCAAAACACTTTTGCATGCATTAATAATTTAGCATTCAGTGCACAATTATTAAGTGTGAAAAAGAAATGCATTGCATTAGAAACAATTACTATTACAGGTCAAGTTGCTTTCATTCCTCGGTGGTTGACTTTTCAATTGTGCAGTATTCCAAAATCGCTACTGCCTTGAGTGTGTCCCTACTTTACATTACAGTGTATGGATTTGGGGTCGCTCATTTGGTGAGTAAAAAAAAAAAAGAAAAATGGGATGAAACTACACCCTTGGGCAGTAGAGACTTTAAGGAAAATGTGTTGATTAAATCACAAAAATGACTGAAATAGTTGCCTGCTGTAGTCCTCCAAAAATTTAATCACTGATATTTTTTACTGATACCATTATCACGTGTGAACTGATACACTGAACAGCAATAAAGGTGATCTGTCATATTTTTAGATTCTGTGGTGACTTCATGGCCCCCAGGGCTTCTGCCTCCTGGAGTTTTGGGCTATTTGGTGTTGTGATCAAAGGGATTCGTAGTGTTGACTCTTTTATTCAATGTCTGCATCTCTAAGTTACTACTGTATTTGTTACAGTTTATCAGTTCACAATATTTAATACTGGCTACATTATGATGTAGCATTCTTTGTAAATACTATAGTATATAAAATATAATAAAGATTGCTGTAGTGTGGTTCCGAAAACACTAGTATAGTATCTGAGAGTTGTCCCTCCTAAAACATAATTAACCCTTTGACTGTCCCTCTACCAAACCGTTGGCCATGTTTTTACTGTTTTAAATAATGACTGTTTTAAATAATGGTTTACACACACAACAGTATTGGTTTACAAAAAAATCAAACAAAAATAATCCTGTTGCCCTTCTACATTTGATTTAGGGTTTTATTTTAAAAAAAGACAAAACAAGAAAACTTGTTAAATGAGAATCTAAAATATCGTACTTATATATATATTGATTATGTTTTAAATAAATTGGTCTTACACTTCATATTTTCAGGTTTTTCATAGTATATGTATTAATTCTGGTACTTTTACCATAAACCAATATATCAACCATTTGGTACAGGCTGATATTTTAGAAATTATGGGATGTGTTGAAAAACAACTGCACTGAGTGTGTTAACTAGCGACATTAGGTGTTAAGAAATGCAATCCAAGCATTTTTTTTCTTGGTGGGGAAGTAAGGGATTAAAAACTACCCTTCGTGTTGTAAATAGCAATGTTTTATATTTTAAATAATTGTGAAGGTAGTAAAATAACACAAACAAGGTAAAATGTTTTGAAAGCTTGGAAACATTTTAAAACTCTTTTTTCATGTTTGTGTTATGAACACAAATTAAATAATTGTGCAACTCACAGAGTTGTGGCAGGTAGTCTACTTGTGCCAAGAAACTCTTGCCATTTAATGGTGGTTTACTGTAACCAAAAACCTCATATCATAAATCAGTGTTAGTCATTGAGCTGTTCGCCTGCAATAAACGGTAACAGTACAGCATCATGAAACATCTCGCATGTTCAATAGCAGAATGCCGTTGCTGTTCCATCAGCAGCTGCTTGCTCAAAGTCCTTAATGACTATATAGCCGTTCATCCTCATTAATCACATGACCACTCTGTCTGAACATGCAGGGTTTGTCCTCTGGGGCTGGGACACCAGGACTGATTTTAAGCATCTTAGGATGGTAAAAATGTTTTGTGTCCCCGTTTTATTCCATTCCGTTTATTCTGTAACTGACTAGTACGTGGATCTCTACAGTGGTGATGTTTTTTTTTTTTTTTGTATGCTAGCCCAGAAATAAGCATCACCCCACTTTCAATGATAAAAACCTAATAGAAATATTTAATTTATTTTTAACGTTTTTTTTTAAATATAAAACATCAGCCTGCATCATCAGTTTATAGTCTTCTACAATTTGTTTAACATGATGTACTACACTATTGAAATCAATTTGTGTCACAAATTTTAAAGCCTAAATGCATTGTATTGGATTTAGGGCTGCAAGATATTGGAAAAATCTACAATTGTGATATTTTGTTTTGCTGCGATTATAAATATAATCAGGTAATAATAATTGTAATTTAATTAATTTAATGATTCAATAGCTCAGATTATTTGAATTGCTCTATTTGGAAAGATTTCATTCATTCAGATCGACTGAGACGATCAAGTCTTTTTCTACGCAGTACATTGCATAATTTATAATAAATTACAAGCAAAAAGTAATATTGTAAATGAAATAAATAGTTCTTTATGTTTTTAAGGTTTTCAACAGAATTCAAGTGCCGAAAATAAACAATCAAACATCAAATAGCTTGGTCATCATTGTATAAATATTTAAAAAAAAAACAATCAACTTCAATAATATTCTTTATTCTTTAATAAATATTCAAAACCTGTGATGGTACTTTTACAGATACACACATAGCGATCTCGATGTTCTAATGATATATTGTTTAGCCCTAATTGGATTGCATAAAAGCAACTACCTAATAAATAAAAATGTAAAAAAAAATTATCAGATCAAAAGCAGGTCATTGCAAATGTGAAATATGGAAATTACAAGAACACTGAGCCCTGAAATATGTGCTGAAGTTATATTTATTTGATGAAAGGCAGCATTTGTGGTCATATTGTTATTTGTGCACACATTTGCATGTTTGGTCTCGTGGTTGTGAGTGTGATTCTGTACCTTGTCGGCACACAGTGTACAAGTGGCCTACAGTGCTGCTCTGTCTGTCTGTTTGGACTGTATTTTTAGGTCTCTGCCTCTCTCAATTTTCCTAGAACTATAATGGCGTTTCTGATGTGGAGCTAAGGATAGCCATGCCAGACAAAACTACAGTTACAGTCCGAGTACGGAAGAATTGCACAACAGACCAGGTCTACCAGGTACCAGGTTTACAACATGTGACACTTTACAGCAAATGCTTCAGTTTCCAAATCCACACATTTTATTCTTCCTCACTGTTTCTTTTTTCAGGCCGTAGTAACAAAGATTGGGATGGACAGCATTACTGCAAGTTATTTTGCTCTGTTTGAAGTCATTAATCACACTTTTGGTAAGAGTTTATCTTTGTTTTGTCCTGTTTGGCAGTTTTAACAGAAATATTTGGACTATTTTGTAGTAGTATCTTTGTAGTCATTATTACTCACCCTGTTTTGTTTCAATGCTGAGAAGGATATCAGTATTTATAATATTCGTAAAACAATACTACACAAATTTGCATGCAGTTCGAATGCTGGAGTTGAGTATTCCAACATAACCAGCAACCTTCTTGCTATGAGGTGACAGCACTACCTACTGCACCACTGCGTCGCTATATATATATATATATATATATATATATATATATATATATATATATATATATATATATATATATATATATATATATATATATATATTAGAATTAAATTTTTCCCAAAAATAAATAAATAAATAAAATACTGAAGCACTTGACTAAATTATATTTGAAAATATTAAAACAGAAAATGTTTTTAAAACGGTACTTTAAAAGCAAAATAAAACTACACAATTTTCTAATCAAATAAAAGGCAGATTTGGGAAGCATCAGAGATTAAAAAAAAAAAAAAAGAAAAGAAAATTTATGTGGACACTAAAGTCTTTCATGTGAGGGAAAAAATATCTTGGGTGTACAAACAGTTACTTGTAATTCATATCTAAAGGTAATTTATGTGTATTAATATAATTTAGTATTATGTGTGTGTGTTTGTATACTGTTGAAGTCAGAATTATTAGCCCCAGATTTTTTTTAATATTTTCCAAATGATGTTTAACAGAGCAAGGACAGTGTATCTGAAAATATCTTTTCTTCTGGAGAAAGTATTATTTGTTTTATTTAGGCTAGATTAAAAGCAGATATACATTTTTTTAAACACCGTTTTAAGGACAGAATTATTAGCCCCTTTAAGCTAAACATTTTTTCGGTAGTCTACACAACAAATCATCGTTATACAATAACTTGCCTAATGGTGGTGGTCTAAAAAAACAAAACAAAAAAATCAAACAAAACAAACCCATCAAATCCTGTAACTGACTGCAAAGAATTTGCAACCATGTTTGATTCGTTTATTTTTTTTGGTCCATTAACAAGTGGGAGGCACACATGCAAACCATTTAATTACTACAGCGTTCACCTGATTTGGATGTAAACACCCTCAAATTAAAGCTGACAGTCTGCAGTTAAAGCATATCTTGCTTGTTTAATTTTAAATCCATTGTGTTGGTGTTTAAAGGTGTGTGTTAAAAGGTTAGGAATAAGGTTAGATTGCCACGCAACAAAAGACTGTCTTCATTTACTCACCCTGCATGCCATTCCAAATTCCAAAAATTTCTTCATTTAAAACACTAATAAAGATGTTTCTAATAAATTCTGAGGGTTTTCTATCACTAGTCAGCCTAAAACTGCGATAAAGAGATCATATAGAATCAAGTGGTGTAATATCAGTCTTCTGAAGATACTTAGTCCCTCTTAAATTAGAAGCAGATTTAGTTGAAGCTTTTATTCATCTATAAAACCTATTTACTTTTGAATTGAAGTGACATAAGGGGTAGATCTATGCGTTACAATGTAATAATATATTAAACTTCCTTATATAATTCTTGAAATACTCTGACTCTTGATCTTTCAGCACGCAAACTGGCTCCAAATGAGTTTCCCCATAAGCTGTATGTGCAGAACTACACGTCTGCTGTCCCAGGCACCTGCCTAACTCTCCGCAAGTGGCTCTTCACCACAGAAGAAGAGATTCTGCTCAACGACAATGAGCTGGCCATCAACTACTGCTTTCATCAGGTCTGTCTTTGTGTGTTTGTGTGTTTGTGTGTGTGTGTGTGTGTGTGTGTGTGTGTGTGTGTGTGTGTGTGTGTGTGTGTGTGTGTGTGTGTGTGTGTGTGTGTGTGTGTGTGTGTGTGTGTGTGTGTGTGTGTGTGTTTAAGCTAATGTAGAGTTGTGGGTTTGCATTTTTAGTTTAGTTTTGATGTATGTTTTATGGCTGCACAATACATAGTTTCAGCATTGATATCACAAATCGTAGCAGGCACAATAATTTGTCATTGCAAAGTTTGTCCATAATGTATGGAAAGTTGATCATTTGCTTGTTATTAGACCTGTGATGATTATTAAGCATTTCAAGAGAGCTTTAAAGCACAAAAATTCTAATATTTGCAGCTTTGGATTACAAAGATTATTTATATTTAATTATTCGTATTATTATTATTATTATTATTATTATTATTATTATTATTATTATTATTATTATTATTTTTATGATATATTCGCTAAAGGCTATACAGTGATATTTTGCATTTTATTAATTATGTTTTGTGTCTGAATACCATACAACTTCTTTGAAAATCGCAATATTCATTTTTTGCAATATCGTGCAGCCTTAGTATGTTTACACATGTCTTCCCTGTAAGGCTCTGGATGATGTAAAAAAGGGATTCATCAAAGTGGGAGAGAAGTCATATCAGCTCCAAAAGCTCACTGAACAGAGGAAAATGACCATGGTGAGTCTTCAGACAATACAGATTTACAGTTAGTGGAAGTAGTTTATAGTCATTTCCGTCATATTACATTTCTATTGATTTAACACTTGCTGTATATTATGAGCAATTCCATGCGAATGCCACTCTTGCTATAAAGTTTTTACCAAAATTTGTTTGTATGTTGATTGTGTAGGCTTGTATTTTACAGTACTTTATAACAATTCAAAAATGGTTCGTTATCAAACTATTTGATTTGATTTACCAAAATCAGTGCCAGTTTGACATTACATTCATAACTGAGAGATGTCTCATCCATAAAGCTTTTTCCTCATGGATATAAAATAAAATGAACAACTTTCTTCTGTTGAACGCCAACTCTTTTTCTTTTGCTTAGTATTATTTCTTTTGGATTGTGCGAAGTATGTTGTATACTGTGAACTCGCATACTTTTTTGGTCACATCCGTAAACCATGTTTATTTCTTTCATTTAAGATATATAAAGCGTTTACAGATTTATATTTTTTCTGATTTCTCAACTCTGTGGTTAGACATTTTGGAAAATATGAGTTCATGTTTCAATATACTGTAAATATACATTATCTGTGAATTTGTGTGTCAAATTTTTTACTGCAATTGTCACATTCATAACACTGGAATTGCTCATATGCATGTTTACATTTGATTAGACAATATTTATGCAGCATGAACTCATGAAATTAAACATGTTTATTAGCATTTTATTTGAATAATAAATTTTTAATATTTGATTATTAAACCAAATTGATACCGATGATAAATGATTCAAATTTGTGCAGAAAATTAAAATATTAGAAAAAACTTTATAGATCGAGACAGGCGTAATTATGCTGACAATTCAGCTTTGCTTTCAGAACAATACATTGTTTTATAATGTATACGATATTATAATATCCATTAATATTACATAATTACATTTTTTTGCACTTTGAGCATGAGAAACTTTCAAAAACATTTTACCTAACTTTTAAACATTTGTGTAATCAAATGCATTGGTTACTTACCCTTATAACATGTCATGTTGTATTATATGAGCAGAATTGTAATCTTGAAGAGCCCCTATTGTGCATTATGTATTATTGTGCATCATATTTTGATTTTTGGGGTCTCCAACAAAAGCTGATATGTATGCAAGGTCAAAAAACACTTTCATTGTCTTATAATAGAGCTACACGATTCTGGCTAAAATGAGAAGTTTGTATGTGGTGTTTTGTGTCGACGTTGATATTGTAGCGAAATTAGCTCAGTTTATGAACATTAATGATCAATAATAACGAGTTATTTATAATTATTTATATTTTGAATTAACTTATTTTTAATTTGACTAAATAAATATAACAATGACCTCGCCAGCTCATCTGAGCGGACTCTGTAATTATTTATTAATTTAGAAAGGGAATTATAACTACTTCTTGTAAAGTAGATTAATCATTTACAAGTTTGGTCAAAATTAATATCAGCTTGTGGCAAAAATCGATCATTTAAGTGACTTTTTCTTTGAGGCAAACAAGAACAATCCAGTGTGATTATAATGGAATTTATTGACTAGTCTGCCATATGACAAAAAAACGTACAAACATAACAACAAAAACAGAAAAGAGAGCGAGAAAATTAAGAGTTTAGATAAAAGAATGTCAAATCTATCTCAGTTGCACACAACTATTCAGGACAACCAAGATTACAAAAACACCCTTTTGATAAAGAGGGCGCACAGCTTTAACGCTAAACTAAATACCTGGATTTAGTTGTTCTTTCTCAGGCTCTCTTTGTCCGAGTTTCTCTGATGCATGGAGGATGTAGTTCTTTAAGATGTCCTTCCTTGATGCGTGGAGCTTGCGATGCAGATCGGAGGATACGCGAGAGGCAAACTTTAAACTGAGTTTACTTTGCTGGAAAAATAAGAAAATGTGGACTCAGACGTGTCACCCGGATACAGAAATGCGGGGGCACCCCTAGAGACCTTTCAGAGATCTTTCTGTCCAGAGCTTTGGGCATAGATCGGTTTTAACTGTGGGTCAAGTCACACACATCTTCTACTGACTGACCTATGGGTTATGGCCAAGTTTGAGCGGGAGATTTTCTTTGTCTCTGGACCGCTCGTATGCATAATAAGGGACCTCCCTTAACACACAGATTGACCTTAACTATGAGCATTAAATAATGCAAACTGTACAAGTTATTATCATGCACTCAGCATCATGTGTTGTAAAATAGCAGGAGAAACGTAATGATACTAAACACGACACTCTAAACACATATTAGCTAGCATTTAACCATTTCTAGACTATATAAGACTTAAGAAGGACTTCATTAGTGCATGCATATACTAGTTTAACTACTTTTGCTATAGGGCAGAGCATATAGATTACAAACACGCATTACATATAATTTAGAGTTGGTTTTTGAATTCTAATAGTTCTTTTCAATAGTGTAATAAGCATCTCAGGGTGTCATGCACAGCGACCTTTGCTCCAGACTTTCTAGAGCCAATAGGCAAACTTTTAAGCCAGAATAAAATATGGGCTGAAGAAAAGGGACTCCCTTTGTTCAGCTGTGGCTCATATGTTACAATTTAAACAGATTGTCAGATCATGCTTATATGATTATTACCCTTTTCACAGACAACCGTGGTGCATTTCATCAACTGTAAAGGGTTATTCTGCTACTACTAATGTGTATTTCACCATTTGAGACCTAAAATATGTCACTTGTGATTGAAAGCACTGATCATTTGTGATTTATGACAAGCGCAGTGCGTGACGCCCTGACCACCGGTGTAGTGAACTAATCAAGGGTTAATGAGCAGCCGCAGACTGAACTGTGAAGGCGAAGTTAGTTTATCTCAGTTTGCAGAGTTATTTAATTTTACTTCGTTATAAACAACAGGCACGTGCAGAAGGAGGGTTTGGGTGCTCGAGTACCTGCCCTTTTTTCTCTCGGAGAGAAAGTTCCCCCTCCTTTGCACATGGTTCCCCTATCTGTAACACCCACGACGCTCTTCAGCTTCGCAATCAACCCATGCCTCAATCTTCAACCAGATTGGTTAACAAGCACCAGTTTTGCCTTCAAAATCTTTTTCAACATGAACAACCCACTTTCTGTGGTAAAGTATTTGCTCTGTGTGCCATTCTACTATGCTGCTGAGGAGGAGTTGATGTTTGCAGCACAGAATGATGACGCATGTCACTCATAGATTTTGTAAAAGTCACATGAAATCCGACATAACCGTTCACACTGCGATTGCATTGCAAAACATCAGATCTGTGTCTGATTTAATACTACATATGAAAGTGGCACATCTGAACTGAAAAAAATCAGATTCCATGCGGTTTGGGCTGTTCACACTGTCATTACCTGAGTCAGTCACATGTGGGCAAAAAAAATCTGATTTGGGCCACATTTGGCTGCAGTGTGAACGTAGCCTCTGAGCAGAATCTTTTATTTAAAAAAAATCCATATTTTCAACAGGGCGCACTTTCAGATTTAAACCTCAACTGAATGTTTTAATTTGTGCTATGTTGCACGCTGCATGAAAGGTCATTTTCAAAACCCCATAATAGGGGCTCTTTAATGCATCCCAAACTGAAAAGTGACAAAATCACAATGCAAGTTCTTTCTGTGCTTTCTTCCTCTGCAGTATTTAAGTATTCTGAGGACCTGTGAAGGCTACAATGAGATCACTTTCCCACACTGCTCCTGTGACTCTCGCAGAAAAGGTCATGTGATCACAGCGATAAGCATCCGCCACTTTAAACTCCATGCCTGCACAGAAGACGGCACTCTGGAGGTAAGCATGTGCTTGGAAGGAGTGAAAGTAAAAACTGTTGTATTTACAATACAATTGATCTTGGCACTCCTAAATGGCAGTAAAGGTTTTGAGCTAAGAGTTTTTTCTTAAAAGCTAGTCACAAAGCTGCCAAGACAAACTTTTACTTGCGTATAGGGCAAAGTCTTAAGCTGGGGTGGACCTTGTTGCTGTGGAAATGTCATAATGCTTATTAACTATGCACACAGTTGATTGGCTGAACTCTTTGTGTTTGGTGTGAACACGACATCAAAGCAGAAGAGTCTTAAATTTATAACTGATACGCCTATTATTTTTTTACGATTTTTTATTATTTATTTTTTTAAATTGGCAAGTTAGGAGCTACTTTTAGCCATAAGATATTTTGTTATTAATGGCCAAGTTTAGCCTAATATATTTCTTAATCTTTTGTTGTTTAGAATCAGGTGATTGCATTCGATTGGTCTGAGATGCAGAGATGGGACACGGATGAAGAAGGAATGGCTTTTTGTTTTGAGTATGCGAGAGGAGAGAAGAAGCCACGCTGGGTCAAAATCTTTACTCCATATGTAAGTGCCGTATGTCCAGTCAGTGTAATTTTGTATCCTACTTTTATTTTTGTCAGGTTGTTATTATTGCTACCATATTTTCTCTTGCCTTTTCTTACATTTAATAAGCCAGGTAAGGTAGGTTTTATCAGGTCAAAGTAGCGTTTCTGTGTAAGTGTAACTTACATTTTTTATAAAGTCCTCACACTTTACAGGAAATCTTTTTTTTTTTCAAGTTCTCGTGTCTTATAAATAAAAGTATATAACAGAAACTGTATTGACAGTATTGATTTGTTGTAAACATCACGTATGAATGAATTTATTTTCAATATAGTAGTGGTACACAAAAAATTAGACAGATACACTCGTCTCTCACATTCAGCATGAATTCACATGTGGCACTCAAAAAAACAACTGTGTACTAACATTGAATTATTTGAAACTATGCATGTACATACATCGTACTTGCACTGTGCTTGTATTTAGCAATATCTGCAGTTACACTTTATTTTAATATAAACTTTATTTTTAAATACTTAGTGCATTTAGTATTATTATAATTAGGACTTGAGTTACAATACAATACATTACTGTTAGTCAACTTATTTACCAGGATGACCAAACAATAACCAGTAAACTTATTACAGTATTTATTCCTTTTTAAAGTAGTTAATGAAAATACAGTCATCCTTTGTTAGTTTGTTAGATTTTAATGTTATTTTTTAAAGACTTTTGTAAAACAAAAAACTGATTTCTGCTGAATTATTTTCAGTGGGTAGGAGCTGAAATATTAACAAACAAATTGTATTTAAGGTTTAAAAATGTGAAATCAATCATTTTGAACAACTTGGAACATAAACATAAACGTTAGAAAATGAACATGAGTTTCTTTTCTCAGGCCATCTACCTCATGAACAGTTAAATATTCCCCTACAATGCAATAAACGTGTTATACTTTCCTCATATGCAGTTGTACACAGTACCTTATAACAATATATAATGCAACACTTTCTCATACGCATTTGTACACATCACCTTATAACTTGTATATTAATAACAAATCAGCACATACAATTGAACATCCAAAGTTTTTGTCTAATTGCATCTTTGTTTAACATTTGTCGTATTTTCTCATATTTATTTTGGGTTGTCACTTAATTTACACTGGAAACTTCTGTAGCCAAAACAAATTCCTTGTGTGTGTGAAGCACACTTGGCAGTAAAATCAATTCTGATTGTTTGACAAACAAAGCTGTGGTAGGACTCTTATCGTAAAATACATCAACTAAAGGAAATGAGGAAAAATACTTTACAAATTGTAGACAAATTATCCAAACATTTGATGCTGATAAAAAAAGAATAAATGATATATATTTGAGATATAAATTGGCATGATTCAGCCAAACACACAAGCGCTCTTTCTCAGCAGCATTTAAATGTAAAGTTAAAAACTAGCCTATATGGTCATCTGCTGTTAAAAAAACTAGCCTAGAGTGCTGTCTGCTGTTAAAAACTAAGCTCAGAAGCTATTTAAGAGAGAAAAACGATGAAATTTGGAATTTTTTTCTCATGATTGATGAGGAATTGATTTCTCAAAGATTTTCGCCACAGCTGTAGTTTTTAATGTCATTGAACAAAAAGTGCAAATTATTTGTCAACTGTGATGTAAAAACAAGAAAATGCTGATTTGTTTTTTATAATTTAATTTTTTTTTAATTATCAAGATATAATGTTTTACATCATTCATTATTGATAATTATTGAATATTAATTACAACCCATTTAGGAATATTACGATTTATTTTTTAACCACTTTATTGTAAATTTACCAACATTACCAAGGCAAATAGTTTTGTCAAAAACAAAAGATTTACAAAAGAAAAAAATGTTTTATAATAAAATAAACATGTTAAGATATAATAAGAGACATAAGAGACTTAACCTTGATAAATAAAATGTTACAAAGTGTGTGCAATGGTAAAGTGTAAATGCTGAACAATCAAAGCAAACTTTAAGGTAGGTCAACATCTGTAAGATGTAAATAAATAATTATCCAGTGAAAAACTCAAACTCTAAACAAAACAAATTATTATAATCAAATCTGAGCTTTTAAGTAAAGGAACCAGCCAACATTATTCAAATACATCAACATTACAAATTGTTAAGCTGAATGACAATACCCCTTATCCTAAAAAAAAATTAAGATGGGCTGTTAGTTGCTGGGATGCACAAGAAAAGAAACTAAAAAGCCATTATGGTGACATCCTTACATCCTTTTTTTTATTTACAATCTCTTCACTGCTGCTTGTCACGGCACTGTGTTGTTGTTATTACCTGAGGTGGTGATGACGCAACCCAACCAGAATCCGTTCACATGTCCCATCTAAAAGCATGTGAAAAGTGCATAGCGACTCCTTCACTATTTTCAAAGCACTTTGCTCTCGCGCTCCCTTAGCGTCTGTATAACTAGGCATCCATCAGCCATTTTTTCAGAAGATCACAAACGGACAAACCATTGCTGCAGTTTCAATACAAGCTTTTTATGGAAAAAATCAAAAGGCACTGCAGTGTTTGGGTGGTAATTTGAGCGCAGTACAATGTTGAGGTAATTAGTCCACCGTTATTCCTGAAATGTGTATATTCCATAAAAAGTGTGAAGCAGATCGTTTAGTTCTACTTGCACGAATTGCAGTGCGTCCGTGGCATTCAACTGGATGTGCCTGGAAAATGTGAGTATGCCACATGGGCACAAGCACATCATGTAATGTAATGTAATTTAAATGTAATGTGTATTTATAAATCGCATTTATTGTGTATGGCCATACACCCAAAGCTCTTCACAATCATGAGGGGGGTCTCTCCACACCACCACCAGTGTGCAGCATCCACCTGGATGATGCCTACTGACAGTATAGTGTCCCCTTCACTATACTGGGGCATTAGGGCTCACACAGACCGCAGGTTGAGCGCCTCCTGCTGGCCTCACTAACAGCACTTCCAACAGCAACCTAATTTTCCCATGTGGTCTCCCATCCAGGTACTGACCAGGCTCTGCCCTGGTTACCCTAAATGAGTATCCATTCTTGGGCTGCAGGGTGATATGGCTGTGATGTGATACTCCTTATTTGGCACGCAAGTCATGCGCCTCGATTAGAAATAACCCTAATCTTATTGGCATTCCTTCTAAGGCGAACGCTCAACACTTTTTTTTAAAACCATAGCGCTTCATACTGAACTTTTTTTTTCGTTATTGACGATGGTGTTCACTCAATATATACCAATACCGTTTTATCAGCCCAGCCCTAATCTAAAAACATAGAAGCAAATGTATTACAATGCATTTTTAACCAAATTTCACAGCCCTAATTTTGATTTCATTATTGTCCTGTAAACACACTCTGATTCGTGTGCACTGAGGATGTCTTTTCATTCCTAGTTCAACTACATGCACGAGTGCTTCGAGAGAGTTTTCTGCGAGCTTAAATGGAGAAAAGAGGTGAGCACTTCAGTTCTATTAAGGCTCTGCTTGCTCTTCTGCATTATTACATGATTGCTTTATTTTCCAGGTTGAAGAGGAGGCCACAGACAAGGACAACAAGAACTGCAGTAAAGATGGTATGTGCGGTAAGGTAAGGCTCTGCCTGCCTCCATCTCCAATCACAAACATTAATGCCAGACCATAATGTGTGCTCTTTAAAAAAAAGCCGTCTCTTTTTGACAGAATATCTTCCAGCTGTTGAGACACAGAAGGGATGGAGGCACATGAACGAAGAGATCATCTCCTCCTGATTTTCTCAAGTACATGCACACGAACACTAAACGCAACACGCAGAGACATTTCAGGAAAACATTTCAGTCCCATACACTTATACACACACATACTGAAATATGAAGCAGGAAATGACAACCACGAACATAAGAAACTACATGAGACTTTTATAGACTTGCGCCATTGTTTGATTTCATTGGACTGGACAGGAAAGGCGCCTGACGTGAACATCACCTGTCATGTGACCGGTCTTCAGATGCAGAAAACTGAGAAGCTGCCCAGACATGTGCGCCTGTGAGGGTCCATATGCTCTCTCAGAATGTATCCATTTACAAAAAAATGAAAAAAAAAAATGAACATGCGAAGAAGAAAAAAAAAAGCATTGCTACATTTTCCACGCGGACAATCAGAGTGAGAGAGGGAAAGAGAAGAAGAGCCAGTAGAAACGAGATCAATTCTTTCCATGCTTTTTTCTCCACACTAGTTTGTCTCTTACCTCACTATTGCCACTGTGTTGGTGGTAGGTTTGTACAGATTTTTCAGCCCTTTAGCTGAACTGAGGTTTTTAATTTAATTTTGGTTTTGTTTTTTGGGGATGATCTCATCCTTCTCTTATTCTCCAAAGCAGTATTTGATTATATTAGCAACCGCCAGGCCCAGATGCAGTTTCTGTGTAGAACTAAATGGACATTTGTCCCTGTGAAATGTGTGGGTCAATAACATGACACTCCTTTTTTTATTATTATTATTTATTTTAAATATGTTAAAAATGCAGTTCATATGGACTCACATTTAATACAGCTCTTTATGATGATGAAACATCAAGTTCGACAATATTATTCTGCCTTTATGTGCTATTAAAAATCATAACATCCTTTTATAGTATGAAGTCTTGATTACGATGCTTGTCATATTCAAGATCTTTGCTGTCGGAATTTGTGCAGCGTTGATTAACGACTATATAAACACCAACCACATTGGACAGTCAATGTGCTGATCATTGTGGAATTTTGATTATGTATGCGATCACTTCAATGTTTATTAAACCGCAAATATGCTTTAAGGGCGCTACGTTTTGACAGGATGTAGTCGTCTTGTCATTGTTGAATATAGTAAAGAAAACTGTTGGTTCAGCAGTCGTTCTCTGAACTGTAAACTTTATGGTGAATGTTGGGTTTCAGAATTCTCTCCCAGAATTCCCCAGTTGACAAATATCATTTCAGAGGCTACTCATGACCTATATACATATTAATATGTATGTATGTATGTATGTATATTATAGAGAAACTGGGGGAATAACCACAATTTTGTCATTTCAGAATTTTCTAGAACCACCTTAATAAAACGGTAATTGTGAAGGATAAATACAAATCTTTTGTTGTTGTTTTTTTATTTTACTGTAATCATAATTGAAAGATTTAAGTCATCCTGTGGTCCCACAGTGGCTTATGCACTGCTACAACTTTTACCAAAGCTATCTGGAGTTAATATGAAAAAATTCTTCCCTCATGGAGATTCTTGCATGTCATCGACCCAAAAGAGAGAACTTTAAAGTCGTAACAAAATGCTTTGTGTTCAGTTATTGTGTGTGGGTCTGGCTTTGTGTGTGTCTGTGTGTGTGTGTTAGAGAGTTTGATCAAATCATCTCTGATTGAGTTGTATTAACAGTGTTATAAATGTGAAGCACTGATTTGGAAAGCCACCAGTGTTAGTTTTTTTTTATTCATGTTTTTGACTTTAAGGATGTCATGCCTTCATTCAGCAGCAGGGGGCTCTGAACGCACATCAGTTTATTTTCTTTACCGTCTTTCTTATTGTAGCGCAGGCGCATACAAAGTTGTCACTCCCAGAGCTGTCTGGACATGTTTTGCACTTTTAAAATGGTGTGTGTGTGTGTGTGTGTCTGACAGCAAGTCGTTTTCTGTCCTGTATCTTTCTATAACATTTGTGTCATTCACTCATACTTCAGAGAAATATTCCAGGTTCAATACAAGTTGCCCAAACATTCAGAGTGGGACTCTCAAAAAATGAATTGTGTTGCTTGTTAGAAATACTTATTTAAGATTCACTGATACAACACAGTTCTTAAGTGTTTTTGGGACACATTAATTGGTTTATGTTTAATATACAAAAATAGGAAAAGTGATTACACTTAATGGACTTGTATGGGAATTGTGTGGAATGCAGCATTTCTACAGTCCTTAATGTTTATAACTGTCCCAAAAAGAAAAAAAAAAAAAAAAAAAGAACTGGTCGAGTCTGTAAACCTTAAAATACTGAAATGTATTCAGTCTTTACTGTTTTTGAGATACCAATGTACACTACACAAAAAAAAAAATCTTTTTGGTTGTTCAAACTACTATTTTAAATGAGCTGAAACAACAAAACTCTGTAGATTTCATTGGGACAACTTAATTTTTTTATGTTCAATCCACATATATTTGTTAAAATAGTTGACTTAATTGATTTGTGTTGGGTCAACATTAATGAATTGTATGGAATCTAGAATTTGTTACAGTGTAGTTCAAGTTTAAATGTATTGATTTTTTTTACTTTAGATTTTGTAAACATTTTGTCTTGATTTTTTTTATTATGTCTAGTTCTTATCAGCTGATTTAGTTTTTTGTTTTTTTGTTTAGTCATTTAAATCGGGGTAAACTAAATCAAAATAAGAATTGTCTTAATATGTCGTCTGCAACTATTTGAAATAAAATGAATCTAACTATTATTATTATTTGTATTGAAGTTTTAGTTTGTGTACAATTTTACTTTTTATTGTTCTGTGATAATTTAGTAAAGCACGTTGAAGTAAATGAAAATCAGAAACACGATGACAATTGATGGGATTTTTTCAAATAGTTCAATTTTAAGTTTTACAAGTGTATCGCAATGACAACATCTAAAAGCTTTCTGTAAGAAAAGCAGCTTTACGTTTAAATAATTAGTTTTAATTATTATCCATTATTCTCTCTCTCTCTCTCTCTCTCTCTCTCTCTCTCTCTCTCTCTCTCTCTCTATATATATATATATATATATATATATATATATATATATATATAGCATATAGCATAAGAATGCTTTAAGTAGTGTTGAACCTGGAATATTCCTCTAACATACAGTGCATGAGTGATTATGATCAGTGGATTTGTGTTGTGTTGGATTAGCACAGCTGTCTTATATAAGAGTTCTGCTGGTTATCAGGAGCTTTCACAGATTCCTGCAAAGCCTCTCATAAGCATATGCTTCAAATCTTTCTCTTTTTCTTCTCAAACGGCTTCTCTGAGACTTTAAGATGAGACTTTCAGCTTCCCTCTCTCATTCTCTTGCTCTGGTCCTCTTTCTCTATTGACTGAAACTTTAATTTATTTGAATATGGAATTCAACATAAATATCTGTGTACAGTATTTTCAGCAGCGGTGTGCATTTTTGGGGTATCTTTTCAAAAAATAAGGCACAAAGTGACTAAAGTGTAGTATAAACTGATGAAAGTACATGTACTTCAAATAAAACAAGACAAAAAAAAACTCTATCTGGAGGGGATTTTGCAATGGAAATCTCAAGCTGACTTGATAAAATGTAAAAGCAAAATGTTTGGTCATAGCATTATAATAAAAATGTATCATATTCTTTTAAATAAATTGATTTATTGACTCAAGGGTTGTGTTTGTGTGAACTTTTTGACGTTTGTGCTCTGCCGCTGAAATTCTGACCGTTTTACCAAACCTGGCATTTTACTAGTCTTTAACACAAGCTTTAAAGTTTGTGTAATATTATTAATTTAAAACATTTTCCTTTATTTGTATAAAGGTGAGCTACTAATAATACAAATGTATTAGTAGGTTTTGTATGGAGCCAGATCAGTCTCAAAGTTATACATTTACAAAATATAATTCATACATCGACAACACAATTCACATTTAAAAAATCCAATTCGTAAATTTAAACGCAATTCATAAATACACAAGTCCAATTGAAAAATTCAAAACAGGATTCGTAAATACACTAATCCAGTTAAAAAATTCAAAACGCGATTTATAAATACACAAATCTAATTCGTAAATTGAAAATGCGATTCCTGAATACACAAATCCAATTTATAAATTCAAAACATGATTCATAAATACACAAATCCAGTTAATAAATTCAAAACACGATTCATAAATGCACAAATCCAGTTAATAAATTCAAAACACAATTCATAAATAAACAAATCTAATTCATTTGCTGAAAATATTCTTTTTACTTTTTAATTCACAACTTGTTGAATTTATGAATTGTGTTTTGAATTGACAAATTGGATTTTGTAAATATGAATTGTGCTGTGCATGTATTAATATTATTTTGTAAACATATTTTTGAGACTGATCTGGCTCCATAGTTTTGTTATACTATTTACTAAAATTCTTATTGTTATTATATTAAGTGTTTATGCTCTTAAAATTAAGCTCTATAGAGAAAAATGTCACTGGTACACTACAGAACTGCCTAAATTTTAATTAATTATTGCCATTGAAGTATTATCATTAGCAGCAGAAGCAGTAACCTATTAGTATTATTAAACTTGTAACAAACAGTAAGTTTGTTACAAACTAATAAAACTAATACTGAAGGAAGATATTTTAATTACATTCAACTAGAAGGCGGTTTCTGCAACTTGATAATCGTGCTAATTCTTTACCATTGTTAGCATTTATAAGATTGTTTCCTAAACTATCCAACGTTATTTTGTTTTTTAACTTTGTGTGGAGTGTTAATATCCAGCTCTTGATTGAGCTTTTCTGCACCAGTGTCACGATACATCAGAGGTGCAGGGGAATAATTCAAGTACATGAAAAAGATGTGGGCACGAGGTGCCAACGCAGAAATAATTGATCAGTCGTCTGAATAGTGAATGGGATCAGTAACAGTAGTGTTGCTGTCTGTGGGTCGAGTCACTGACCTTCACCCCAGAGATTTTATCAGCCACTTAACAATTAAAGAACAAATGGGGCCTGAAACCCGAGGCGACGAGAGTCACTTCAGCGGACGATTGGCTCTGCCGGCTTAATTCAGGAAGTTCAGGCCACTGATACGAGTCTGTCGAGCAGTCATACAGTCTGTCATGTACACCTCACCTGACAAAATCAGACAAAACAAGGCAGCCGTGTGCTGTCTGGACACAAGTAAACCTGTAAAAAAGTTATTGCTGCCTTCAATTTTTTAGATGAATCAATGAACTTTTCTAATTATCTCAACTTGCGTCAATTAAATTGACTTAAAATATTGAGTAAAGCTAAGTTGCCGAAGCTTTTACAGTGTAGGCCTATAGCTGTTACTCATTCTAAAACATTAAATGCAGGTATTAGGTTTTGCATAAAGAAAGAAAACGTCTGAAAAGATCTATATTATGAATATGTGTAGCCTACAGTGTCATTTGTAAAAGATAGTTTTTTTTAAACACTAAAGTGTGGTCTAATAATTAGTCTAATATGTTTTTTTTATTTTAATAGAAAATAAATAGACCACACATATTAGAATCATGTTTATTTGAGTCTTTTTCGATTGCTGTCAATTACTTTTTCAAACGCTTTCAAGCTACTTTTTTTCTAAACTCTTAACACACCTACAAAACAAAATTGGCCAAATGAATAACTTTCTTATCGTGAATACATTCAGTTAAATATATACTAACTGTTTATTTCAAAACAGAACACAACTTTCTCTGCACACACTAACTTTACTAAAACACGGGAAATCTGACTCAAAATGAAAATATTCAGTCAAAGGTCAGAATAATAAGAGAAGATCTAAACAAAGATCAGATCAAAATCAGCTGTGTGTCTATTATTCAATTGTTTGCTTATCAGCTGAAATACATTTTTGATATTGATATTGTTTTTGTAAGGTTTGGAATATTGTTTTTGCTATTGTGGGATGTTGTATGTTAACATTCGTCAATACTACAAAAACAATCCATCATTTTGTTGGAAAATATTGCTTGTCTGTTAAGAAAATGTAAGCATTGTGGAAATGTGTTCACTCACTGCAGATTGGGTGAAAATTACATGAAATGTGTGAATTGTTTGGCCACAAAAGAGCAATACTGTGCTAATTGTGTTTAGAGTTTTGAAATTATGACAACTGGCTGAGCAAATGCTTGTTAGCAACTGAAAATTGTAGGTTTGAGTGTAAATTTCTATGCATTCAAGACATAATTGTTAACATGTAATGTGCATTCTTCATTGTACAGATTATCTTAATTTTTTATTTATTTATTGAAAATAATGCTATATATTACACTTTTACACTTAAAAAAATCTATTTAGGTCTAATAAATTATTTATTTATTGTAAAAATGTGTTTAAAATTATAATTTTATTCAGTCAAGATGTGTTTGTCCAAACATAGGTTTGTTTACTTTATAAAAACACACCTTTTCAGCTTTATTAGCATTATTATTTGGATAACACTTTACAGTAGTCATGAATAATGCTGTGTTAATATGTTAGCTAAACATTACTTTATTATGAACTAATGATGAGTTAATGCGTGCACTTATCATGAGCTAACTTTAACTACATGAGTCACAAGAATTCATGTGTAAATAACGGCTACCTTAATTACTTGTTAGTTTACGATTGTTTAATTAACATATTAATTACACTTTCATGTAAGCTTAATTTAGCCGTCATGAACTCATGATATTGACGTATAATTATATCATGACTTTACTTGAAGGGGCACATCATCATTAACCCATTCTTAACTACTCATAAACTCCCTATGCTTATCTGTCTAGTGTGTTTACCCTGAATAACAATAGAAAAGCATTCTGTCAACATCAACACGAACAGTTTAAATACAGGAGTTCATGAGTAATTAAGGATGAGTTAATGATAATGTACCCATTCAAGTAAAGTCATGACACAATTATACATTAACAGCTCATGAGATCATATTGGTTAAATTTAGCTTAAACTTAAATGTTAAATAATAAATTCATTAACAACATGTACAAACAACTAAAGTAGCCATTATTCACATATGAACTCATGCGACTCATGTTGTATTTAAAGTTATGATTAGTGAATGCCTTAATCACTAATTCACAATAAAGTAATGTTTAATTTACATATAGACGCATCTTTATTCATGTACTGTTGTTGTAAAGTGTTACCGTTGTTTATTTGTTTATCTATCTATCAATAAAAAATGTTCTTAATAATATTTAATGAATGTTACACATATGTATTTACAACAGTTTGGCACTACACTACTATAATTTTCTACAGAGCCCCTAGCACTCCCCTGCTCCCCCTAAAATGGCTTGAAAAAATATATAAACATACTTACATTCATCGTTTTTTTTACTAGGTATAGTTTACAACGATGGATATTAACTAAATACATATACCAAATACCTCACATCAAACAACGCTCTAAACAAAGAGAAGTCTGTTTCTTTTCAGCACTGACCTATCGTGCTTCCATGATCACATTGCGGTTTCTTGCGACGTCGCACACGTCATCAGAGAGCGTCAAAACAGCGTCGCAGCTCCGCGCCACACTTCATTGTCATTCAGCAGCGTTGTGTTTTCTATCTGCATGTGGCCTCTGGCAGGGACGCGGCTGGATTGTGCTCGTCGTCTGCGTATGTAAGTATATTTACGCCATACTAACGCCCCCCAGCTGCGAGTTATTAACAATATTTATGCAGAACTGGATGTGTGCGAAGTGAGAGAAAGACGCTTGGAAGCTGCTCGTTCCCGTTCTGTTTACCATTGACGTCGCGTTCTGCGCTCGCTCCCCCATCTCTAGTCTTGTGTCTGTTTATCATGCTGAATGTTTACAAGTGCACTACAGAGTAGAAAATGATTTGTTGCTGACTGTAATTGTTTATTTGTATTGTGGTATGTCGAAATAAATTGGGGCTAACGTTAGTCAACCTCCAGTGTCCTTGCTAACCACTTCTTTTTTGTTAATTGAAATGGCTCAAGATGATTATGCTAGTGGCTGGTTTATAAAGAACAAAAATAGTGCTGTGATATTATCATAGTCTTGGGGTTTACTTTATTTTAAATGCATGAATGTTTTTATTTAAAGCTTAAATTACTTAAATTCTACTTCAACAATAATAAAAAATACTACGTTGTGATCTAATGTAACTTAACCACTATTTTAGCAGCTTTTATGATGAATGCAGTCTAAAGTATCTTTAGTCAATGACTAAATACATGCATTTATAACAGTAAACCAACAAGTAACGTTACCATTCTGTCGTCTAATAATCATTTTTACCATTAGTTTAATACTGGATATTATATGTATTGGTCTAATTCATAGACTTAATGTTATAAATAGCATATACTTAACAATTATATATATATATATATATATATATATATATATATATATATATATATATATATATATATATATATATATCAGTCTTGTTTTGTTTGCACATACTTAACGTAAACTGATTAATAACTAGTTACAATCCCTAAATCTACAACTGATCCTAGCCTTAACCCTTATCTAAAAATATAGTCTAATTGTTTATACCTTACACCGAAAGTATACTTTAAATACACTAAAAGACATAAAGTTCACCCATGTACATTACATTATTGGTTCAATAATTCGCATTACGTGACAGCGTCTCCTTGTATGGCGCATATAATGTGCATTGAGGGAGAAATAATGAAGATGTCACTTCTATCAATAATAGATTAAATCGAGCATTAAAGAATAATGATACGACGAAAACAGCCATAATGTCTATACGATGATGTGTCTTTTAAAGCTCTGAGCTAAAAAGTTGCAACTTTGCGCGACTGTGTGGATAAACTGGGTTATGAAGCGCCCGAGGGAGACGTGTGTCCGTACGTGACCCGTATTCTTTCGGACTTTTTTTTTTTGGTGAAGTAGAGGCGCGCGCGTCCCCAGATCCTTTTCACCGTCGCGCGCTTTTGAAGATGTTGTTTTGCCTCTTCAGTCTTCGGTAGGAGGTTATAAACTGCAGTGCAGTTTCATGTCGGTCACGGTACTGTAACCTCATGTATTATGCATCTGGGAGGGTCGCAGGTGGAGGTTTGCTTTCAGTCTGCTGGCTGGTGAAATGTGAAACGAAACCAATAGTTCAGCGGCTATGATAAAATGAGTAGTGCGATGCAATATTAATATATCTTGCTGTTAACTGATATTCAGCAATATGGATACAGTAGTCCTGTGTGATTTTGTATGTTTATTATACTACATTTTTGCATTTATTTCACCGTGGGGTGACTTCTTTCAACTTATCTGCGTTTTAATCCTAATTAATATATTAGCATTAGTAGTAATTGCATGGTGTAATTACTGTTTGTAAAGCTGTAATATGTTGATTATTCACTCCAGACAGGGCGCCCCCTGCTGCCAGCGTGTGTAAACGCGTCTTGTAAGTGAGTGTCAGACAGAAATTGAAGAGTTTGGAGGAGAATGGAAAGCGAAACCTAAAGCGATTGTGACTAGTTCGCGACATTGCGCGTGTTCTCTCGTTTAAATTCACTGCTGACATCATTTTGCCCACTCGCTTTCAAAACAAAGTAATTGTAGACTCGTTTTAGAGTTTGTGCAGCTGAACTTTTTCCAAATGCAAACGGAGACAGCGTGTTGTTGGAGTGTGATCTTTCTACTTCATTTTCACTCTTCCTGCGGAACAGTGTTTAGTCTGTGCACGAGTCTGGGCCTCAGCTGCTTAATCTGTCAAATTCAGCTGTTTTATCCTCCGTTGTTTTTGCGGTACGTATAACTTAATATGATTTATCGTGTTGGGTTTATCTATTATTATTATTATTTTTACTTGTATAGTGTATGTTCTAAGTTATGCTCTAAGCCTGAAGCTGTGCTGTAATCCGAATTCAAACTTTAAATCAGTGATGCATGTGATGAATAAAGGGGCTAAGCTGGCTGTATGTTATCATACACATCCTATTTTTGTGATATTCTAAATTTGTTCCCACACTAAAACTATGCTAAATATATCAGATAATTTTAAAATGATTAGTTTCAGAACAATTTCAAAGCTACAGAAATGTATAATTAAATAATCCTACGTGTCGGATATGTGCACTTGAATTTCCTATAATAATAATAATAATAATTTGTATTATTATTATGTGAATTTAATCTGTAGCACATCAAACAAATGTAAATTTCATTGTTGCATTAGTGTAGCGAAATCTAGAAAATTTTTATTAGTTGTTGATATATTAGTTGTTGATATAACATTACATGCATCCGTTCCTGTTTTATGAACCATAATCATTTAGCACTATTTTAATAGTAAATAATTTGCAAACAAAATTCTTATTTTTTTAGCTAGTAGTTTTTAAAACAATTTTATTTGAATGACTAATTGGCTAAACTTTCAATTCCTAGAAAGGCTTTTTTACCCTAGTTTATCTTATTTGTTTGATGTGTTTGTTGCTCACTTTTTGGATAGTGTGATCAAGTGGTAACATAAGAGTTCCAGCGAGTGCCATGTAAGGTCCTTGCTACCTGTGTGACATGGAATTATCTTCTGATGCCATCTGTATGTTACTACAGTATCCCCCAGTTTCTCAGACAAGCCTTAAGTCTAATCCCAGACTAAAATTTAAGTCTTTGCTGTTTCAACTATAAGAACTTGCATTGGCTGAACTTAAAATAGATAGTGCTTTTTTGCCACATGATGGACACCAGCAATATTTTTTTAAAGCACATTTATTAAATTAATTTGCTTGGGACACTTAACCAAAACCTTATCCTGGCTTGGTTTAAGCCCTGTCTGTCAAATCAGCCATATATGTTGAAAGAAATGTTCACTATAATGTTAAAAGACAACAAAACTTCAAATACCACAAGTTACATTTCTACATGCAAATAGAGAAACTTGGAATGCGATGGAGCAGAATGAAGTTTTCCACTCACTATGATTAATTTGAACATTTGACATTACTTGTAAAGTGGCATCAGAGTTACATTAATACACTGTAAACTAAATTTGTGTATGACAATACCATTTAGTGGAAGACAGTAAAGCCAGTATGTGACTTCTTAAGATGTTTTTTCAGTGCAAGGTGCAGTGCAATTTTTAGCCACACAGAGGAAAAGCAGCTTTATAAATATTAGTTTATAAATGTAATTGTGCACTGAAACTAACAAAAACTAGATTGCTAAAAATGTGGTTAGAAATGTAGCAGCTTGTCTTCTGTATTACGAGGTAAGCTTACGACGTTTTTTAGCTATTGCTGCCTGAATCCATTAAACAAACAATTTTGTCGACTGAGTACTTCCAATTGGCTTGTAATTTTGTGAAGACTGTAGAACTTACAGTGATTTACATCAGTACTTACACTAAGCTGCTGATTTCTACATTTTGGAAACTAGTAGTAGGTTTAATAACTTTTAATCTACCTCCCTGTATATTGCCAAAAACAGCTTTTTGCACTTTAATTTCTATAGTTAGACCCACTTGCATTTGGAGAGAATGTCCTTGAAAGTGTTTCTTCTAATACCCATGACAACTTTCTCTCACCAGATGGATCTGCAAATTAATCGCTAAGCCAGAAATAAATTGGTTGTCACAATAAGCATGAATAATTAATCTATGAACCTTTTATAAAGTCCTAGAACTACAGCCTACTGTTTTTTTTAAGAAATGTGCAGACAGGATTTGTCTATACAGTAATAAAAGTACATCACAAAAATGTGCATTCCTTTATATATTTTTTTCTGTTATTTTCTCTCTGCAGAAAAACCTGTCTTTGATACTGTCGTGATATTGCAACCAGACAGCTGAGATTCATCCTAATACGTACACAACTTCACTAAGCCTAACGCTACACCCTCCTCAGCCCCCACCCCTGCGCTATGAGCAGAGGTAGAGGAGGGAATTACAAAGATAGCCAGCGATTTTCCCTCCCTTTCAGAAAGGGACAGCCTCAGTTTTATTCTTCTACAACCACTGGACAATCACGGGGCCCTCGTGTCCCAAGCCCCAGCTCTTTATCTGGCAGCTCTCCGCATCCTTCCTTTTACTCCTCCTACTCAAGTGGTCCTGGTGTACCTCCACGTGATCATCCTTTTCCCCCTCGTCACTCTGATCCATCCCTGTGGGCATCCCCCCAGCACGGCAGTGATCAGATCTCGGACTCAAATGGTGTAAGCTTCCGACAAAACCAGGTGCAGTTCCTCAGGGGGCAGAGTGCACAAGCTCCTCAGTTCAAAGCACCCCAGCCGCGAGGGTCCCAAAGCTCTAGCCGAGGGGAAGAGGTCTCAACTGAGCCTATCCAGTACCAGACGGGTTATCGTGACTTTAAATCAAACAGTTACAGTTTTGGAAGAAGAAACTGTTACGGCAGAGGACAGGATAACTGGCAAGGGGAGCAGAATTTTGGACCTAAAAAAAGGTCAGGGTGGAATCACCCACACCAGAAGGGACAATATTATTCAAATCAGCACTATAAACAATTCTGGAACGCTCGGGCAAATGATTTATCCTCTGGCATCTATAATCTGAGTTTTGGTGACCGTGTAAAAAGGGTAGACACCTCTGATACCTTGTCCTGCAGTAACTCTTCTTCTAAGGTTTCCAGTTCTTCCAGCTCATTCAGAGATTCCCTGTATTTGACCCCTGAGATCCACCAACAGGTCTGTGCTTTTTTGACATCACTCAGGCCAGCTGAGACTATTCAGGCAAAGGTCTTGGGCAAAAAGCTTGGTCTCCCCAAGAAGATTGTTAATAAGGTTTTGTATGACCTTTTGAAGTCAAACCAAGTAGTGAAACAAGGAGAGACCCCCCCTTTGTGGAGACTCTGTGAGGAGAGCCGCGAGTCCATCAGAGAGAAAGACCAAACACAGTCTTCAAAAGATTTGGAAAAAGAGCCAGGTCAGAGTCCATATATAAACCAGAAAGTTGGTGGAGATTTCACTACCACCAGTACTCCCTCTCCATCAAAGATTCCCATTGACGCTGACAGCGATACCAGTGACGAATCAGAGGACTCTGAAGGTGACGATAGCTGTGAAAAGTTGCTTGCAGATCAGGATAAAAAGACTCTTTCACCTACAGTGCAGTCTGTAACATTGTCAACAATGGCTGATTCTAAAGATAGCAAAGAGAAGATCCTACAGTACCTCTATGAAGCAGGTACGGGAAATGCACTTGTGATTGCCAAAAATCTTGGCCTGCGAAGTGCCAAGCAGGTCAATCCCACACTTTATGCCTTGGAGAAACAAGGTGATGTAAACCGCAACACTGAAGTTAATCCACCTACCTGGGAGCTAAGTGCACACAGACAGGAAAAGATGGACCGCCAACGAAAAGCTGCTGCAACTGCAAACCAGGATGTAAACAGTGCTGCAACTCTAAGTTTGGAAGATGACGAGATTGCAAATGTAGCTTTGGTCAACTTTGAGCCAATGGAAGGAGGTGGAAAACCATTGGTTGAGATGTTAGACAATGACAATGTTTTTGGTAACACAGAAATTGACATTCCTGGCTTAGAACCGGTATCCAAAGCAAGTGACCTTTCCTCCTCAACCCATCGGAACTTTCAGCCCAATCAGTTTCCCTACTATCAGGAGACTCCCAGTAACGGAGGAGAACAGTCACAGTGGGCATCTGATGATATTCCAGAGTTCCTGAACACAATTCGTTCTGAGGTTGCAGTTTCCTTGGCTGCACCCCCTCCCCCGACCCAAAGCATGGAGTCAAACAGATTGCAGAAACTAAAAGAGGCCCGTAGTAAGAACCCAGTTAGCGGGCTGATGGAGTTTGCACAGCATCTTGGATACACTTGTGAATTCCTACTTTTAGAACAGTCTGGACCCTCACATGACCCCAGGTTAGTTGATGGAAAAGGTTTTTTTATACATGCAGAGCAATAGTTTGTTTGTTTTAAAATTATGTTTTAGACAGGCTTTTTTAAAAGTGAGTGTTAACAAGGAAGATACGCACCTGTGAATAGTTTAGGACTTTGTCAAATGTCTCATGAAATTAAAATGATTTGTTTAGATGTTATGTTCAGTCTGTTTTAAGGATATATATTAGCTAGCATGATCCACTAAACTGACAATTCACATTTAGAAAATATAAAACTTATAAACATCAAAAACTTGCAGTTTGTCATCTCCACCTAAACCGATCAATGTTTTTTCAAGTCACCTCATACTTCGGTTTCTCTTCAAAACCAATCAAACGCTCTGTAGTGTGTGTGACATGTCATGCCCTGTCAAGGCCCTTATTTGCTTTTCATTTGATGAGCTTGATCTCAATTACACTGGCAGTGCTCTGATAAACAAAGCTATTGGCTGTTTTTGTAAAGGGGAGGATGTTTTACGTCCTACCCTCTTAATTTTTTCTGAAGAGATTACATCAAACATTAAACAAAAATTTACATTTTAAAGCACTTCATGGGACCTTTGTGTTAAACAGGTAGTGAAATTGGATTGTATGATTAAACATTAGTAGAAATACACTAACTGTGTTATTTAATTTTTGTCTTTTGTATTCAGGTTTCGGATGCAGGTCATGTTAGATGGTCGCAGGTTTCCAGCAGCTGAGGGTTCAAACAAAAAAGTGGCAAAAAAAGATGCTGCTGCCATTACCCTGAAAATTCTTTGGAAGGAGTTGGATGGAGGAGGTGGAGAGGAAGAGGAAGAACCAAACATTGAGGGAGCTGGGTCAACCACCGATATGGCAGATGATATGGTAGTATTTTTATTTTATTTTTCTATGTGAAGGTTGCATGCAACTATTACTAATCTCAGTTCTAATATTCCATTAAACATGCAATGAACCAGTATTTAACCAGTATTTCATCTAAGACGTTTCTCCTTTCTTTGTCTTATTTTTAAAGGGTGGCACTGACACTCCACCTCAGGCTCTCTCTCGATCACTACCTGGAGGAAAGAATCCTGTTTCTGTTCTGATGGAGCACAGTCAGCGCAGTGGGCACCCTATCCAGTTTATCAAAACAGGACAGGAAGGGCCCTCTCATGATCCACGGTAAAATGCGTTCCAAGGTTCACCCAAAAAGGAAAATTCTGTTATCATCTGCTAATTATTCAGTTGTTTCAAACCAGTCTGGGTTACTTTCTTGTGTTGAATACAAAAGAAGATATTTTGAGGAAAGCTGAAAACCTGTAATCATTCACTTCCATAGTATTTGTTTTTCCTACTATGGTTTCAATGATTACTGGTTTTAGCTTTCTTCAAAATATCATCTTTTGTGTTCAAAAGAAGAATGGGTTAGTAAATAGTAAATACATTTTTATTTTTGGGTGAACTATCCTTTTAAGTAGCATTCCTTTGATCTCGCTAGAGAAAAGCACATGCTTTTATTTCAGATCTTTGTGTCTTCCAGGCTGTTCTGTCTCCTTGCCGTACGCGTAATGCACCCTCTATGCTGTCTCCTATTTCTTCCTGCTCTGCTTTTTACTTCCCTTTATTCTTTGTTGCTGTTAGAAAACCTGTGAAGGTTTGCTTTTGTCATTTTGGTAGCACTGTTCTTGTTTATCCTTTTTTTTTAGTTCCACTTGTTCTTACTATTTTACTATCAGAGTTTTTTCTTAGAGTGTCCTTAATTCTTTTATCACTACAGAGTGACTTTGCTAGCTGTGAAAAACAATGCTTGCTTTGTCTAATCATGGCACAAATGGTTGTTTTATCTCCATTTTTATTTTTTCTTATTTTTTATCTTTTTATTCAACTTCTCCAAAGTTTGCTTATTATTATACAAGTATTACTTACTCTTTAGCATCAAGCTAAGTCTGTATACCTTCTGTTGGCAATTTAGTTTGCATTATTTACATGAAGTAATCAAGACAAGGTTTAAGATATGGCCCAATGTGATTATTAAACCTAATATCAAATTAAACAAATAGTCTGCATGCATGCTTTTGTTTTTAGTCATCTTAAGGCACTTAACATAATTCCAGGAGCTACAAAATTGTTGTGCAGCTCTGAATGTTTTCAAAACCTCAGTTAATTACCATTGTCACTTATTTATTACTAACATAAACACAGATCGATCAGTGAAACTCAATATCTTTTGAGAGGTTTTTACATTTGGGCTGAGCAGTAACTTACAATTGTTCAGAGAGTATGCATTATTGCAGATTTGAGATGCGAGAAAACAAAATTTGTAAATGGTGTAGCTAGGGCTGCACGATTAATTGAAAAAAGATCACGATCTCGATTCGACCCTTCACACGATCTTAATTCACCTTTTCTATGATTCAGCCCATTATATTTTTAAGGTCAGGAGAGAAGCTTAAAGGCGGCCACTAGAGCTGCACAATTAATCTTTAAAAGATTGCGATCTCGATTCGACCCCCTAGACCAGTGGTCACCAATCCTGGTCCTGGAGGGCCAGTGTCCCTGCAGGGTTTAGCTCTATCTTGCCTAAACACACCTGCCTGGATGTTTCAAGTATACCTAGTATGACCTTGATTAGCTTGTTCAGGTGTGTTTGATTAGGGTTGGAGCTAAAATCTGCTGGACACCGGCCCTCCAGGAACAAGTTTGGTGACCACTGCCCTAGACGATCTTAATCCAGCATTTCTACGATTCTGCCAATCATATTTTCAAGTTCTGGAGAGAAGAAAAGGCGGCTGCACGAGTCTTTTCATTGTTTCACACACGTTGCTCAGTGACATTGACACCTCCAAATGATGTTGAATGAGTCACATACTGTATTTATAAAGCATAATTCACCTAAAAATGTCATTTTTGTCTTAATATAACGATGTTTTCACGATCGGGAAATCACACTTGACGTGAGCTGCTGACCGTGAGCTGTTATCACAGAGAGGGCGCGCGCGCACTCTACTTAATAATAGACGCGCGCGTCTACTTTAGTGAACAGAACCTGCATATGTTGCGAGTAACAGGTAATACAGTTGTAAATAATATTCAGTTTGTGGAACAGAGTGATCATTTGTGAGCCGAGCGCGAAGTATGAACAAACACTTAGCAGTCAGAATTAAACCGAAAGTGTGCACTTCATTTAGAGTTATGATTGCAAAAAGCATTTGATATGTTTTTTTCTTTCATAGCGAACCCACAGTTGTGCATGAAAATAAATGTTTACAATGTCAGTATAACTACTCTAGCATATATATTGTTGAATATAATCTGATAATGGCAAATGTCTGATTTTACCAGTGAATAAAATTTTCTAATATGACAGATTGCAAGCATATATCTCAAACATATTAATTCAACATCAGAATTATTATAAGAATAGATTAATATAGAATATAATTATTTATAGAAACCAGTAGACCCACACACAATGTTATTATTGAGGTTGTGCCATGTTTGTTTTTACCTTACCTTTATTTTACATCTACAGAATCGTGAGAGAATCGTGATCTTTATTTTAAGCAAAAAAATCGCGATTCTCATTTTAGCCAGAATCTTGCAGCTCTAGCGGCCACACAGCGACATGTACACCTTCAAATAGCGTTAAAAGTGTCACATACTGTATTTATAAGGTATATTCACCCAGAAATGTAATTGATGTCTAAGTGTAATGATGTATTTGTGACCACAAAATTACACATGAGCTGACCGCAAGCTGTTTGTTTACTTCGGAGAACGTACGAGTGCTTGCCAATGATGCCTTCTTTAGTGAACAGAACCTGCATAGGCTGTGAATAACAGGTAATAAAGGTGTTAATAACGTTCAGTTTGTTGCACAGAGCGATCATTTGACCCGGGGTCTGTGCTTCAAACGTGGACTATTCGGTTAGGTGAATTTGGTTATTGACGATTTGACATGATGCAGGATCGTTTTGTTCTTCAAAACTGATCCGAGAGTTGTTGTCATGGCAACAGTTCTGGTAGCTCAAACCTGAGCATATGAACATGATATTATAATGGAAAGGATTACAGCGGGTCAGTTCAAGCAAAGATAATACAGATAGTATGTACCGAATTCTGATACTTTCTTACAGTTGTAGTTATATACACTTGAGAAAATAGTAAATATTTTTAAACTATATATATATATATATATATATATATATATATATATATATATATATATATATTATAAAGTTATAGTTATTAATAAAAATAAAGTTTTATATATATATATATATATATATATATATATATATATATATATATATATATATATACTAATAAAACTTAGCAATCTGCACCCACGAAATGAAAGTACAAAGACTGCCACCTAGTGGTGCAAAGAGAAAACTTTTTAGATTGATTTAGTACAATTTGTGTATGATATTACACGTACATTATGTGACTTTTTTTGAAAGCAATAATATATTTATGCAGTCATAAACATGTTTTGACAGTTAATATGAGAGTGATTTGATGCTTCATAAAAGTTGCAGACGCCTTTACCAATAACAAAATGCTTTTGTAAATATCCAGTTATTCTTTACACCGATTAAAAAAAACTTGCTACAATAATACTACTATAATAAGGAAAATCCGCTCTAACTGTAAAACTAAATAAATTGCTCTTGAAACATAAAAGGACCAAGCATGCAGCACTTGGAAGTTAATGTGAAGCCGGCGCGCTCATTATATATATGATCATAATGCATTTTACAGTTAGGATTACGACAAGCATTTGATATGTTTTTTTTTTTCTTTCATAGCGAACACAGTGTTGTGCATGAAAATAAATGTTTACTGTGTCAGTATAACTACTCTAATCTTAATAATGTTATGAATGAATATAACTCAAGAGGTAATCTGAAAATGAAAAATGTCTCATTTTACCAGTGAAAAAATTGCCTAATAATGTTGTCAATGACAAATGACAAGCATATATCTCAAACAACCAGGACATATTGAAAGTCTTTTCAAGTCCACCATAATGACTGTACAAAATTTTGCGTTTTAAGCAACAGTAGAGCTACACACAGGCCTAAAATTATTTCTGTTGTTTTGTTTGAGAATTTGAGAATTAACAATAATAAATAACAAATAATAATTAACAATAATAATAGCCTACTAATATTAACCTTTATTTTACATCTATAGAATTGTGAGAAATATGTGATCTTGATTTTGAAGAAAAAAAAGTCATGATTTACATTTAGGCCAGAATCGTGCAACCGTAGGTGTAACTTCATTACTTTTTGAAAAGATTAAATTAAATATTTGGTTGGATTTGGTTCAGGAAATCCTCAACAAACATACATATAGCAATCTGTCATGTGCCAGTAGATACACTGGGATTACTGGCCTTGAGATAAATGTAGCACTGCCTGTCAAATGAGCTTTAACAGACAAAAAATTTATATATTTTTGGCCAGTGTTGGGGTAAGCAATACAATAATGCAAGTTACGTAATAATAATACTTTTCTAAGTAAGGAGTAAAAAAACGCATTACTTAAAAAACATTAAGTAATAAAAACTGAGTTCCTTTATAAAAAATGTAATGCGAGTTGCTTTTTATTTAAATTTATTTGTTTAAAAAAAAAAATAAATTGCTGAATTAAAATGAACGTTGAATCTTGCACAAAACCAAGTGGCAAAGCCTTACATTTCTGCACTGAAAGTATTCTCAATATTCTTAATGCACGGTAGAAAAGTAAAAGGGGATTGTCTCAATGCTTATATTACTTCACTAATTAGACTAAAAGTACAAATGCTTTAAACTTTCGTTCATCTGTATATATGGCATGTAGAGCTCGGGGCTCTGGAAGTTCTTAGAAGATAACATTATCCTAAATTATTATTATTTGATGTTTTTTAAGGTAAATAAAGGTTATACAGTGTGTTGTTAATAAAAAAAAAAGAAAAAAAGGCAAGTAAAAGTAACGCAAAAATAACTTGATGCATACTTTCCATAAAAATAATTTAGTAACGCAACTAGTTACTTTTTGGTAAGTAACTCAATATTTGAATGCATTACTTTCAAAAGTAACGTTCTCCAATACTGTTCTTGGCTATAGTAATATAAAAGCATAAATAAAAATCTTTCAATTGTTTTTTTTATTAGACATAATGCTAATATTCTGTTTTAATGTTCCAGGTTTTCACTTGCCTTTTCATCTTTTCTTTACCTCCTGTGTCAGGTTTATGTTCCGTGTGAAGGTTGGGGAACGTCTCTTCCAGGAAGCCTCAGCACCTAGTAAGAAGGCAGCAAGACAGCTGGCAGCGGAGGAGGCTGTGAAAGAGCTTATGGGAGACGGACTACTACATCTTAACAAGGTGAAGAGAGCTTTAGAGACAGTAAAAGGAGGAAAAGAAAGCTTTTTGAAAGACAGAGAAAAAGAATTTAGTGTGTTTTTAAGCTTTAAATCGTACTTTGTCTTACCATACATGCACTTTCTTTTGTAGTTTACTTTTGTCCTGGTTCTTGGTTGTCTGGTTCCTGGTTTCTTTTAGAGTGTAAAATACATGGTTCACTGTAGCCACCATGTGGACAAACAAGTTCAAAACAATTTACAATGCATGTACATTGTTTATGTGGTAAAAAAAAATAGGGCTGCATACGAACAATTTTTATGTACGGTGTTGATGTTGAAATTTCCATCAACACAATCTGTGGCTGAAATGGGCTGGATTTTCTTGAATTAGTGTTAACCTTGTCTGTGTCAAAGTAAACATGCTGAATCGGTGCTTCTCTGATCATAGAATGTCTCAGAAATGAGATTCTCTGTTAGTTCGCATATGTCAGCATCTCTCAGTATAGTGTGAATTGGGTATTAAGCCCAGGAAACACCAAGCAAATTATTTGCAAATTATATATTGCAAATATTTAAGAAATGCAACAAAATGACAGCCAGCTTTGGGTTTTCTTTCGACTTTTGCCGTGATTTGCTTTAGTTTTGTCACTTCAGTTTTTGTTCTCGTGCTCTGATTTGTAGCTTAACAGCCAATCAGAGCACCGCTTTCACCAACGAACAACAGATTCTACATGCTGAATCAGGCAAACTAAACATGAGCCAGATAAGAGGTGACGTGGAACATGCCAAACAAACTAGCCTGACAGATGCCCTCAGATGGCCTAATGGCCGACTGTTGGCTTGGTGTGTCCTGGTCTTGAGGAAGAATTTACCGACCAAGTTGACAATAAAAAATTTTGAATAATATTTGATCATGTATATAAAAAAAAAACTAATTGTTGACATTTTATAATTCAATAGTTTCTTGACCTAATATGGCCTAACAAGACTGCCTGAAATAATGCAGTTTGACTAGTGGTGCACTGTAGCACATGACTTTAATTCTGCACAGTTAGATGCAATCCTACAAACAAAATGGTGTCACTTGAAAGCCCCAATATACTAACCGCAAAGTGCTTTTTCTGTTTTCGTCTAGGGTAAGAGTTACCCATCCTACGGAAAGTGGTACTTAATTAAAAACTCTTTGCTTTCAGTAACTAAATATTCATACTCAATGGTGTGGAAGAAAATGACAGCTAGGAAATCACCAGTTCATAGCGATGAGAACATGTTCATTTCAGCATTTATTATGTTAAGTAATTAAACAAAGGTTTATTTCTGACATTTGAATAGATTCAAATTTGTGCTGCTTGTCTTGAGGGTTGCAATGCGAGTTCTAGAGCGAGTAGAAAATGTTGGCAATGTGTAAGATTTTTTCATCATGCAAAAATAAATATGTTTATATTATATAATATTTATTTTACTTTATATTGCACAATTTATTAATGATTTTGTGGGGGAAAAATAAAGATGTTTTCTAATAATTTTTCTTTATATTAATTATAAAATTGCCTTTTTTACAGTTAGTGTTAAAATGAAACCAGTTTTTGTAATAATCAGTTTTTTTTTTTGCAATCATGCTCTGGAAATTTTGTATTAAGATGTATATTTATTAACATACTCATTATTATATTAGCAGATATACAGTGCTCAGCATAATTGAGTACACCCCATTTTAAAAATTAATATTTGTATCCATTTCTTAGTAAATATAGGCAATGCAATTTGGTGCTTTTAATAGAAACATATTTATTAAACATATATTTATTAAAATAATATTTTAGTCACCAACGATATTTAGAAATTGAAAGATAATACAATTAAATTCAAGCTAAATATTGCAAAAAAAAAACAATTTCAACAAAAGTTTTTTTTCTTTTCTTCTTCTTCTCTTGATTTTTCTTATTTGTATTTAGTATTTTTCTATAGCATAAATTTACTAGTTTTTAAACCATTATCATAAGTTATTTTGTTAGATGAGGTTGGAATTGGTTTAGGTACTGACTAATCTAATGTATATGCACAAATATAATATTGTAAAGCTTCCTATTAAAACTACGAATCTAAAAGATTGTAAAAGGGTGTACTTACATATGCTGAGCACTGTATATCAGTGTATTCTAATTAGAGCTCCACAGTATTTATGTGTGTTAATATTTTATTTTTCTGTGATGCATATTGTAATATTTGTGAATAATCTTAACAGATTAAATGCATCACTTAATTAATAATTTTAGGACAATTTTGAATAATATTAGGATGGTTTTGTAGTGGAGCGCATCTGCATAATGTAAACAAACAAATCACAAGCAATAATACAAAAGTTATAAAGTTTTTTTCTGGGAGTCTAACAGTATTCAGCTACACAAATTGAATGATTAAATGTAAAATAAAAAACACTGTATAATCTTCATTGCATATATACAGCACATAAATACATTTAATGTTTCTGAAAATATCTAAAAATGTTAATTTCCTGTGCCTGAATGCTTTTAAAATGTGTACATAGCCAAAGGCCTTAAAACAGATTCAAATGATGCAATTTTTTGGAAACTTTATTGTTAAACTTTGCAGTTCCCCCACAATCTTGTGTGTGTTGAACTCCTACTCCATTTTAATTATGATTTGACAATGCAGATCCTGCAATGTGACTATTGCAGATGGGTACAATGCGATATCAATGCTGAAACGATATATTGTGCAGCCATAATTCTTATTTGATTATCTGAATAATAGTTGATTTAATCTCAAAGCATCTTATTTTCATCTCACAGTCTACTTTTCTGTTTTGTCCTCCAGCCTCCAAGTAGTTTCTGTCCTATGGGTGACAGTGAGTCGCAGCCAATGTTTCCGGCGTGCCCCTCTCTGCCCCCCTTGACTGCAGCTGAGCTTCAGGCAGCCCATGAGGCAGGTGTGGGTGACCTCATCAACCACCTGAACAACAACGCAGTGTCCGGTCTGCTTGAGTACGCCCGTGCTCGAGGCTTCGCTGCTGAGATCCGCCTGGTGGGCCAGTCTGGACCCTCACACGAGCCCAAGTACATGCGCACTCTTTTATTTGCTTTTTACAGCAGCAGCAGGACGATCATCTCAGTGTGTCTCTTTCTCGCTGCCATGCCATAACCAAGAGAACAAATGAATTAACCCTATTTCTCTTTCAGGTTTACGTACCAGGCTAAATTAGGTGGGCGGTGGTTTCCTGCAGTGTGTGCCAGTAATAAGAAGCAGGGCAAGCAGGAGGCAGCGGACGCTGCTCTTAGAGTGCTCATCGGAGAAGCCGAGAAAGCAGCACGTACTGGAGAGCTCATGCCAGAGGTAGCTTTAATTAAAGCTTATAAAAACATTTCAGTAACTTTTAAATCTGCATTGACTTCTCATTAAAAGAGTGCAATTAAATTATGCATTACATAATGTTAAGATGTACGAAAACTTTTTGCTTTATGTGTCTTTTTTAAAAATCCTTATGGTTTATTTGCTGTTGCCACATTTTTGCACCCTGTTTGATTGTTTTTTTTTCTATGTATTTTATAAAAATTCATGAGTATATATATATATATATATATATATATATATATATAAATAATTTATGATCTATACATTTTGAATATTGTTCTCAACAAATTGTCAAAAATTTTATTTTTAGCATTAGTAAAAGTTTTGCTTTAAATAAATAAATAAATTTAGTTTAGACTTTATAACACTATATATATATATATATATATATATATATATATATATATATATATATATATATATATATATATATATATATATACGGTTTATTTTTGTTTTAATTTATATGTGTAAAAATGTATTTATTCAGTTTTAGTTAAGGCTTGATAGTAAATCAACACTAATTGACAATAATATATAATTGACACTTGCAGCCTTTAGTAAATCATTCAAAAAAAGTGCCTCTCAAAGCAAAAAGCGTGTTCGGTGTGATCGGCCCCTTAGGCAGCACAATGCGTTACTGTAATGTTGTTGTTGTAGTAGTAGTAGTAGTAGAAGTAATTATAGTAAAAGTAAAAATCAGTATATTATGTGATGTTACATAATAAATAATTGAACTGTTGAATTAATAAATTGGAATTATTAAAAAAAATGGTGCCATTACACCTCAAGTGTGCATGGTTTTCTAATAATTAACTTTTAAGATGGATAATAAATAAACAGTCAATTATTTAGTTTATGCTATAGTAATAATAATCAAATATTCTTGTAAATTTTTTTTAGTTGCCAGTATCAGGGAGTACAATTCATGATCAGATCGCCATGCTAAGCCATCAGCGCTTCAATGCCCTCACTGCACGCATCCAGCACAGCCTTCTGGGTAGAAAAATTCTTGCAACTATTGTGATGCGCAATGGAACGGACAGTCTTGGAAAAGTTGTCAGCCTCGGGACAGGTACAAATACACACACAGACTCGGTTACAGCAAACATGATGCGTGCACTGTAATTAAAGAAGTGCTGTAATTGTTCTTGTCTGATGTCTCTAGGAAACCGCTGTGTTAAAGGAGAGGAGCTCAGTCTTCGTGGGGACACTGTAAATGACTGCCATGCAGAAATCATCTCCAGAAGAGGCTTTATCCGGTATCAGCTTGCAGAAGATTTTTCTTTCTCTCTCACTGTCAATCCCATAATTCTTTTTCTTCTCCTTCTGCTACTTTTCCCATCTTGTTCTTCAAGATAGCGTCTTATTTCACAGCAGCTCATAAATATATTGAATTTATATTTGGTTTTCTGCAGAATATTAGAATGTCTGCTTGTATGCCTAATATATTCTTTAAATCTCTGGCTGTCAAAGATTAAGGTATATTTGTTTTATAAAACACAAAATATAAAGTGTATAAATTTTAGCTTATATTACTATATAATATATTCATATGTTATTAATGATATTTTATTAAGGGATGCACGATATATCGGCGGCCATATCGTTATCGGCCGATAAACGTTATTTTTAAGATTATCATTATCGATCCGATGTCTACTTTAGGCCGATATCTTTAAGCCAATAAATTACGTAATTGTACAGACCTGCCTGCCACGCTCACGTGGGTGGAACTTATTCAGACTTGCCCAGTGCATTATAATGGAGCTCTCCTCACACTGTTTATTCCTTCAAAGTCTGTCTTTTCTTCAAGTGGCACTGCTGTGCGTTAATAACTCAGTAAGTAACCATGTTCCTCATCATTGTAGATATGTTTGATTAAGTGTCATTGTGTATTTTGCTTTAAATCGCCTCAGGAAAAAATATTACATGTGTAAATCATTCCTGCTCTGTCTCTTTGTTGTGTTAGAGATAGCAGGTAGATTGACTTATTACTCCAGGGCCGAATAATGTTAGTTTCGGGGTGAACTGCCTTTTCTTTTAGTTGCAACCGGTGAATGAACGAGGACACATGTAACTTGTACTTGGTCCAAAATATTTGTTACTTTCTGTGTGGTGCAACAAATCAGTCACTGAAAATTGTCTCATTGCCCATATCCGCTCCTCCTTTCTCTCTCCCTCTCCGCTTCACACCCAAACTGCAACGCAGTGCTTTAAAGGACCCGCACATTTTACAACACGTGTAAACATAACGATCGTTTGTAATCTGATTATTTGTTATTATCAATGTGTTGCTTGCCATGTGTTGTTGATGTAAGATTGTATTTAGTTTGATTGGAATATTCATATTGATTATAATGAGCGTGCGAGCTGTCACCACACACACACACACACACACACACACACACACACACACACACACACACACACACACACACACACACACACTGTAGCACGGGTGAAAGGTGAATCCAGATCTCGATTAGCGGCTTATTCTGTCTTTATATTCTGCTGTGTTTGTCATAAAGTCAGCTCAATGCAGGTTTTGTATCAAAATCTGGCTGATGGTAACTCTGCCTCTACAGTTGAGTGAAACTCACAGCGGTTTATCATAAACTTTTCATCGATCTATTTTCCCACAATTGACAGCAAGAACGAGTGCAGAAGCGTTGTCTGATTGACAAGCAGCACCTACACGTGTTCAAAAGAATCTTAAAATGCCAAATAGGATAAATCTATGCCGCATTTTCTAAACGTACTAAAACGTACTATCTGTATTTAGCTGTTCGCTTGTACGGTGGCTATAAACTGTCCAAACACCTCTAAAAAGGCTTTTTCGGACATGACATATTTGTACATGTGTACATTACTGTAACACGTTTTATTCAAGACCATTTGAGCTGGTTTCAGTCCTTAGCTCTTTTTTAATTTTCATCTTATTTAAATATATTTAACTTGGTTGTTAATTAAATCCCATTTTGTTATTTAACCTATGATTTTTATGCAACAGTCAAGTTGCATGTTAATTTGCGATGAAGAAAAGGAAATAATGTATTTTTTGTATGCTGATGTATGTGAAATCGTGAATCTAGGTCTATTATTACCTTGCAGTTTTGAAATTATAGCTTTTTGCTTTGAGTATAGACTATTCAGTTCATAAGAGCAGTTCAATCTTTAATGAAGTTTGCTGTATAAAAATATACCATTTTGAAATATTTATAATTATCATCCTATACATATCGGCTATCGGCCTCCAAGTCTGAAGAATTATCGGTATCGGCCAAAAAATCCATATCGGTGCATCCCTATATTTTATTTTATAATTAGGCTTTTTCATTGTTATTGTGTATTATATTATGTTATATAAGGAAAAATTGATGGGCCAGTAAATTGAGAAATAGTGTTTTAAATTTTTTAATAATTCATCAGACCAGAGTAATTTATTCAGCTTACACTGTTCTCCATATACCAAGATTTTTGACATATGTAGACTGAAGTAACTCGTTCAAAAATAATTAATCATAATATGAAACTGTTAGGCTCAATCTAACGTTTTCCAGTGAGAGGCAACTTTGTAAATGCTGGGTGTCCGCAGGTTCTTAAAGTGTTAAAAGTTGATAAATAAATTATAATTTGTGACAAACGTGGGAAGATGATGTGGCGCTTTCCACATATAGCAAAACAGACAGCAAAATAGGAAAATGTAAGTCTGCGTACTCCTGGTTGAAGAAAGACGAGTTTAAACAGTGGCTGAAGCTTGTCGGTGAAAACAACTGCATAATTTACTCTTAAGATTTGTTTCTTCTGAGATTATCTGAGTTCTGTTGCATGGTTGTGCTCCATTGATTTTTATTTTTTACTGTTTTTATTTTACAACTGTTTATTAAGTAAAAGGTTTGATACTGATTAGAACTTGATGTGGCAATGAGGTCTTAAATATTTTTAGGTTTTTAAAAAGTCTTAAAAAGGTATTGAATTTATCTTTAGGATTCCTTAAATGGCTTTGTAATGGTTTTCTATTAGCATTAGCATTTTGCGTGCTGTTTATGTGCCCATGCACCTCACTTTCCAGCTGCCTGATGTCCAGTAAGTAAACTGTGTAAGTAAAAAGTAAACTCTGAGCGGAAAAACTGCTCAACGCTATACACTCCAGCATCTGGGCAGTTGATACAATGGTTACCTAGCAACATAAAAAGTGTGCAGCACATTGTACTTTTTTCTTAAGTAAAAAAAGGCTGTGTGGTGTGCCCCACATTTTCAAAACTAAGCACATTCGGTGTGATAGGCCCCTAATGTGGTCAGTTAATATCTAGACTTTAAAATGGGAAATAAATATCAGCATTTCTTACAATTAGAAAAATGTGAGTAGTGTCACCAGTGCCAGTTTATTTATCAATAAATAATATATATATATATATATATATATATATATATATATATATATATATATATATATAATGTGAAATTATTAATAAGAACCTTGGTATTGCTAAATAATACATTTTAAAAAGTGATAATCAGACATTATTACAAATGTGTCAACTATTACTATTACTACTACTAAAAATAATAATGAGGATGATGATGATAAAAATAATAGTAATAATATTAGTAATAAAAATGAAAGTCTCATTTGTAAATGTGTATGGCTTAGGTTTTTGTACAGTGAGCTGATGAAGCACTGGGAAAGCCCTGGCGATGAGACTATTTTTGAGCTGGCAGGTGATGGTAAGCTGAAGATCAAATCTGACATCACCTTTCATCTCTATATTAGGTGAGACATGCACTTTCTCTCATCCAAGCTCGTTTTACAACAGATTCATCTGCAAACATGGATAACACTGCTTTCTTAATTTCACAGCACTGCTCCATGTGGCGACGGTGCTCTCTTTGATAAATCGTGCAGCGAAGCGGCTGAACTCAATGGCTCTGGACACATGCCTCTCTTTGAGAACATCAAACAAGGCAAACTCAGGACCAAAGTGGAGAACGGTAAGACACCAATTAGTTTTTTTTTTTTTTTTTACATTATGAGAGGGCCATTTAAATGTAAAAATGTGCTGTATTTAAAAATACAACCCCACTTCAGAAGAAATTTGGTCATTTTGTAAAATGCAATTAAGTCTATGTGATCTGTTAATGTTCATTTACTTTTGATTAATCAACAAAAGATCATGAACATGCAACAATTTCAATCATAAAAAGTAAGCTAAACAAAAGTATCCATCAGGAGCTCCTCCACGGGACTCAGCACTTGTTTAACACTCAGCTTTTGACCCTACCTATACTCATTGCCACTACCAAACCGATCAATGCACATCTGTGATATGTGACATGTTACATGTACAGTGTAGTTAATTTTTTAAAGGTGTGCATCATCGTGAAAGGTATTTGACCCTGCAAAGGCTACACAGGACCTGGTATACACAAGGCAGAAGTATAAATTGGTCTTGATCTGATAACCATAAATTCAGCATGAAAGACATCACATTAATAGCAGTGCATGTCTATGTACTCTCCCAGTATATTTCCCCATGTCAATGATATCCTTGTACATTTACCAATTAAAAGTCACCAGTGACATTTTGCTCTGCTTGTTCCTGAACCATGAAAGATATTTCCTTTTGTGTCTGAGAGATGGTCACAGAGACTGAGAATCTTCTTTTTTTTCTCTTTCAAAACAAGCTGTAGTATGGACTTTTCTGAGCCTAGCACACATTTCCACTTTTCACAATTTGAGATGTGCTCTGGCCTGGGGAACCAGCAACTTTACTGCACAAAACTGACTTATAACTTTCTATTTCCGTAACAAAACTATCCATTTTCGGGCTCTGCCAGCTTTATGGCTCAGCAGAGTAATCTGCCTATCCCTAGAAGTCATTGCTAAGAACAGTACAACAGTATTCAGTAACAGTAACCAGTAACAGTACAGTATTCAATCCTTTTGCACAAAAATGGCTAAAGACTTCTTGATGCAGTTTTATTTAATTAATTTAGCTTTTATTTTATTTAACTCCACAGTCAACAGCATAACTTTTTTTTGGAGCACCTTTAGATCTTTCCTGTCATGCCCTACATAAACTGAACTATCTGTTTTTTATTTTATTTTTTAAACAAGTTCTTTTTTTCATAATTTTAAATAGATTAGTTGGTGAAAGACCGATATTCTATAACCTTTTTACTTTTATTTAGCCTCTAACTTAACTTTTTTTGGTGTTTTGCCATCAAAAATTTAAATTAAAAGTAATGTTTATTTACTAAAATGTAAATTTGTCTTTAAAGCTATCTGTAATCTTCCCTTTATAGATGGGCTAATAAAATAAAAGAGGGTTTGTAATGACAGATTTTTGATATCACTGTATTTTGCAAATTGTCTCATTTTGGGGGTGCAAATGTAGAGAATGTCACGTTGTTTTGATTTATTTCATATCTACATCTTGATGCAATCTGTGCCTTGAAGGGGAAAAAAGCAAAACAATTTTAATAGAGTCAAGTGTCACATGCTGTAATAGGTACTGTTTGAACCTCCTAATCTTAAATTGCACATGCTGTGGCGGAAATCCAGGACCTCAGGTATACTAACTCTAGTGTGTTAACTGTCGGATTAAATAAGAGGCACTCAGCAGTGTTCAGTGTGCCATCTGCCCATGATTATCTTGCCAAAGAGCGTCTCTGTAGCCACATGAAGGTGGCTTTTTGCCAGGCAGAACAGCCATTGTCTAGTGGGAAAGGAGAAAGCAATTACGTGGCAAAAGCAGTTGGCAGGTTAGCTGATGCATTTCTGTGGATTTAACTTGACAAGTGGGCACATCATGTAGGCAGTTGTGCTGGAGCAGCTGATTTGCTGACCCCGACACTGCTGGCAGGGAACTAAAAAGCTGATACATTGTGACACATATTTGTGACACTTCAGCGATTAAACCGATTATGCTTACAGATTATGCTTTGTGAAGTTAGCTAGATTATGAAATCAGGTGTAGACAGTATTAGAGTTTTCTTTTTTGGTCCGTAACTGTAGACCACAGTTCCATTATTAAAGCAGAACTTCAACTTTTACTTTATAGATTCCAGTGACTGCAGACAGGATGTTGAATCAGTTAATACTCTGAAGACAAATTGTCCTAATATATGTGTATATATATTAACGCTAATCAGTTATAGAGACTCCACTATAGCAGCGTGTTCTGCTGGATCCTGGAACATATTGGCATTGCAGTGAAGGAGTTAGTGGTCATAGTTGCAAATCAAGTTTATACAGAATCAGTAATGATAAATCTCAGCCTTGGACATAAAGCCCTTAATCAGTCCATGTGTATTAAAGAAATAGCAAATGAAATGAGTACAGTGTCAAATTATTTGAAAAAAAATCCTGTGGGTGGCATGAGAATGTATGAACATAGAGAGTAGAATAGGCCATAATACATTTGACTCATGGACATTTGCTGAACACAAAATCTTTAATCAAATGTAACATTTTTTATTATTATTATTATTTATTTTTGACTGCATGAACATGCTATATGACGGGTTTATGTATTTATTTTAATCAGGAAAAACTTTTAAAGATGTGTTCATGGACCCAGAAAACTTTTATAAACAGCATTCAATTTACATTTTATTGACTAAGATTATTTTTAAACAATTTTTGCCATTAATCTTACTCTGTCAGGTGAGGGTACGATCCCAGTGGAGTCCAGTGACATTGTGCCCACCTGGGATGGCATTCAGCATGGCGAGCGCCTGAGGACCATGAGCTGCAGTGATAAGATCCTGCGCTGGAACGTTCTCGGCCTGCAGGGGGCGCTGCTCACACACTTCATCCACCCTATTTATTTGCACTCCATCACTCTTGGTAAGCATTTCTCCAAACCTTTCAAATAATGATGTTTTAATGTTTCAAACCAGCTTTTTTAAGGTTTGCTAGATTATATCAACAGTAAAGGCTTTACATATGCAGACCTTAACTGACAATAAGACTTAATTGAAAACCTAATATAATTTGATGATTCTGATAATTACTATTTTATTTAGAATATATATTTTAGACCAATATTAAAATGCATGCATCAACAAATTAATTATGTTGATTTTTTTTTTTTAAATAATAAAAATAAATTGAATTAAATAGAAACTAAATTATATAATAAGATTGATTTCACTCATGTATATGAACATTTATTGACTGGTTGTTGTTGTCATTATTTTTATTGTTCAGAATGCCTTCGGATTAGGTTTACGGGTTATATTTTGATCTGTATTTGTTTAGGATATCTTTACAGCCACGGTCACCTGACTCGAGCTGTGTGCTGCCGATTGTCCAGAGATGGCGATACTTTTAAAAGCAGTTTACCAGCGAACTTTACTCTCAACCACCCTGAGGTAGACTTGCACAGCACACGACATCCAGCCCTATGAAGCTTTAGATTTTATTCTTCACTTATTTTCTGTCTTGCTTTCTGCAGGTGGGCAGGGTGAGTGTGTACGACTCGACACGCCACACAAGTAAGACCAAAGAGTCCAGCGTCAACTGGAGCCAACCAGACCAGTATAGCGTGGAGGTTCTGGATGGCACCAAGGGCAAACTAGACAGGTGAGAGGGGAAAATTGAAATCCAGCTTATCTCACTAATTGAATATTTCTCAGAGGCACTTCAGGACCTTTCCTTCTCAATCTATCGTTCTCTTTTTGTGCCAGTCCCAAGATGGAGGTATCTCGGGTTTCCAAGTCCAATCTGTTCCGTCTCTTCCACGCTTTGTGCCAGCGAGCAGGCCGAGCCGATCTGCTGGCACTGCAGTCTTATGCCCACGCTAAGATGGCCGCCACATCATTCCAGGAAGCCAAGAGGCTGTTCTTTCTGGCACTGAGCCAACATGGATATGGTGCCTGGATTGGGAAGCCCTTGGAGGAGAAAAGTTTCGAAGGTGAAGCCAAAAGCTTTGAGCCGATGGGAGGAAGCGGAGACGTTCAGGCTTCAGGTTGCGTTGTTGACCCCAATAGTTTCTTGAGCTCCGAAAACAACAACTTTCTCTCTGCGGCACAGGGATTTTAGGGCTAGAGGGGGAGATGAAGTCAGCAAATGAGGGGAAGAGGCAGGATTTGAGAAGGTTAGTTGTAGAGATGGAGGAATGGGGTGAATCTGTGGCTTCGGGATTCAAACTTTTAACATTGTGATAAATCAGAAAGAAGTAAAGCAGAGCTTTAAACCCATGGCGAATTGGACTTGATGAAAAATGAAGAAGTAGAGTCATGCCTTTTTTGTTTTAGAAAGCTGTAAGCATTTGTTTTAGGAGAGTTCGTCTTTTATTTTCTCCATGTTTGACAGCACCAATGCTGTGTTAGTGACTGGGTGGCCACATAGGCAAGGGATTCGGTTCATCGCTTAAGGTATATTTCACTTAATAAAGAGAGTTTTAACGCTGGTCAGGTCGCTGATTTACATTTATTTAAATTGAGGTTTCCCTGTGTTTCATTCGAGTTGGTTGTAAAGGATTGTGTATTGAGATTTAAAGGGTTTGTTCATTGCAAAATGAAACGTTGTCATTTTGTCACCCTTACCTTTCCTCAGTAATTTTTTTGTTCATTAGTTTATTTAGAGCTGTTTCTCTGTGTGTTTTTTAACAAAAAGGCATTGATTGCTGATTTTGTTTTATTCAAAAAGAAATATACAGATTGAAAATGATGGCAGAATTTTCATTTTTGCGTGAACTAACTATTTAATTTCATCAGCATTGTTTTGTCTTTAACCTACTTTGTTTTTTTCATTCCTTTTAAAGTCTTGGTAATACTTTACAGTAAGTATTCATTTTCTAACATGAGTGAAGATTAGTTGACAGGAACTAACAAGAACAGTATACAGTGTATATCTATCATAATCCTAATATCTACATGAACAAAACTCAAATCTGCTAAAGTTGTATTTTTTTTAAACATAAACCAATATGTGTAAGCAATACAACTGTGTTTTTACCAACTTGATCCAACGTTAATAAATGTTTTAAAACACATTGCTCAAATGTTAGTTCTTTTTAACTAATGGCTTAACTGATGTTAAAAAATGAAACCTTACTGTAAACTGTAAGCAAATTTGATTTGCTGATTAAACTTTCTGTATTTACATAAATGTTTTTTTTTTGTTTGTTTTTGTTGCATTGTGGAGAGATCCACACACCAAAACTTGAGTAGACTGCTTGAAATGTATACATAATGTACATACAAATACATATGCACACAGATGTATATATAAGGTCTGTTGAACGAGTTTATATATATGCGTGTGTGTTTATGTATGTGTATATATTGTATGTATATATTTTGTAATGAATCCTAATGAAGTGAAATCCATATTATTTTCTATCTTCATTTTTAGGATGTCTTTTTATATATAAATATAAATATATAGACAAGGTGTGTATGTTCTGTTTTGGCTGTAGTTTATGTGCACTGTTTGTTTGTTAGATATTGCATGCAGCCAAACACAATCTTCATTCTGACACATGACATCTGTAGCGGGCAGGTGAACAGCACAAAACATATGCACATTGTTTTTCTGCGTGTGTTTGTGTGTGTGTGTGTGTGTGTATGTGTGTGTGTGCACAACTCTGTGAATCTGGGTCTTAGAATATTATTTTAGCCTTTATATTGTAAGCTGAAATCTGCACTGCTTCTGTTTTAATGTGTTCAGACACCATCAACTGATGCACTGCTTCAAGACTAAAGCAATACTAACATTCTGCTTCCTTCCAGCAAGTGTGACTCTGTATGCCTCAAACACTTGTCATCAAACCATTGAAGTCTACTCCAGCATTTCTTTAAGATAAGTTCTGTTCTTGGTATTAAAGGAGAATTTTCTTTCCGTGTGCTGCAGAAAATGATGTCTTGCGGGTTTAATGGCATATGCTGTCTTGGCTCAGGCTGTAGCTGTAGGTGAGCGGGGATATTTAAGACTGGGTGGAAAACTATTTGAGTCTCACCACAGTAAAAAGCACCAGACGACAAGGCAAAACTTGTATTCCAAATGAGACTTTTCTGCTGTCTACTGATATAAGAATCACCTGTAAAGAGTGTCTGGTTGATTTGCGTATGTATATTTAAATAAGTAATTTCATACACAGCTATGGTTTGTCTTAGATGTTAATGTTTGTTTTATTCTATACAGGTTTGGTAATATTACTTATAAATATTAAATTATATGTTTCAAATATTAAACTTTTTTTTTTTAAGAAAATGTCAATTGGTCATTTCATCAAAATGTAATTTAATTATTCCAATATCTAAAGTATCCTTAATTTGTCCAAAGTTAAAGCTTTGTTATTGTGTCTGTCATCTAAAAATAAACATCATGCCTGACAATGTGGCACCTTATTTCATTATTTTAATGCAGCATTTTATATGATAAAATTTGTATTTTAAATTTGACTGTTTGTATTTTATATTTGTGAGAAATGCCATCAGACCTTTATAAAATAAAACCGATAGTATCTTTGCACACAAACCCATACCTTTATAAATCCAGTAAAAGTTTAACTGAATTTTAATGGTCTCAATTATTTATTTTTTTTTCAATATATTTGGTGCAATTCACATTCTACACATTCAAATGTCAATATCACAGTCAGTTTGAGCATTAGTCTATTGCATTTGAGTACATAGCTACTGTAAAAATTAATAATTGATGGTTTCTCATTGTTACCATTTAATTTGAAATGCAGGCGTAATACACATTTATGACTGTCTTATCAGGTGTGTATGTAATTTATGCGTTCAGTTCAGTTTCTAACCTTTAGCTTATCAATTATGAAACATTAAATGTTGCTTAAAACAGCAACAGTATGCAAGCTAACAAAAAAAATGGCACTTGTTAATAAATGTACTGTATATATTAATATTTGGATGGGAAAAGCTGAATTCCTGGCCTACAATCTAATAAATTTGTTTTTTAAACTGTTTGCATCTTCGTTACTTGATCGTTTATATTGATATCGTTTATATCTGGGTGTCAATGTTTACACAAAAGCTAGCCAAATATATTCTAATGTAAGTGTAGTTGGGAGGTTAAAATTTGCGTACACAAGATTCATGCATGATTTCAAAACTCTAACCACTTCATTCCATTACCGCTGGATGGCGACTTTTCACCGTCTCGTGTAGTTCACAGACGACAGATTTGAGAGTGATCAAACGCCTGGACGAGATGCTATAAAAGAGAACATTACGGTATGAAATTATTCATTTTCCCCTTAGTAATTTCACTGGCAAGCCCGCTGATTCGGTATTTTTATAGGTTGGGTAATGAGTAGAGTAAAATAAGCCTACCACCAGCTGCAGAGGTGAAGTTTATTGCTAAATTCTCACTTCATTAAAAAGCATGTGGAGTTGCGATATTAACCTACGTTAAATAAGCAGACTGACAACTGTCACCTTCACGTCAAGAGTTCGAACACCGTATTTTTGTCTTGTGGCGCTTGCTGTGTCGGCATTCAACCAAAAGGTCATTATCTGGTCTAACCAGGGTTGAAGGTTTTGGCAGCTAGCCCAGAGGCCAGAAAAATAGCTCTGATATCAAACCCCAAAATACAGTGCTCAGCATATGTAACTACACCCCTTACAAATCCATCTTTTCAATACATATTTTATTACATATTTTTTTACAAGCTATACAATATATTTGTGCATATACGTTAGATTAGTCACACTGAAGCCAAATCTGGAGCTTATTTAAAAAAAAAAAAACGTATAATTGTCTAAAAACTACACCAACATTTATGTTATAGAAAATTATTCAATACAATAAAAAGGCAAAATCAAGAGAAGCAAAAAATAAATAAAATTTTAATTTAGTTGAAATGTTGTAGGTGTTTATTTATTTTTGCAATATTTTGCTTGAATTTAATTGTATTATGTTCCAGTTTCTAAATATGTTTGGTGACTAAACTATTATTTTAATAAATATATCTGTTTTATCTGTTTTGTTGAAATGCACCAAAATGCATTGCCCATACTAAGAAATGATTCAAAATATTCATTTTCAAAATGAGGTTTACTCAATTATGCTGAGGACTGTATATGATGTATCAAGGGCATTCATTATAACCAGCTTTATAGCTTTATATTTGGAAGTATAAAGATTGTGTATGGATGTATCTGTTTTGTTTCCTCATCCTAGCATTTTTCTTTTTTTATCATTGGTTGATGAGAAATTTGTTAGAGTTAAATATGTGTACGTAACCATATAAATATAATTAATACAATATGTCAAAACTTTTAACATGTATCGCAAGTGTTCAAAGTAGTGCGAGACTCCATAGACTTGGCAATCCTCTGTCTAACCACCTGTTCTTCCACCCAAGTTCAAAGTATGGGCTGTCTAAAGTATTGTCTATAATTTTGTAATAATAGTATTGTTCCATAAATAATCCATACATGATCCAAACATGTACTTTTTTTGTGCTTTAGTTTTTATCATAAAAATAAAATACTTGGCATTTAATTTACTATCACAAGCATCTGTGGCCAAATTTATTTTAATTTTAAAATGTACAATTTATTAATTGTTCCACCAGATTATTTTCTCTTTGTCTCTTAATAAAATTGCCTTTTAATATTTATTGATTCAATAGCTGTAAGGCAAACAAGGCTCCTGGTTGTCCATGTCAGTCAGTTCACACATATTTCAATGGAAATATTAAACAAGCACATGGCTTGTATATATAAAATATTAGTCTGAACTATATGCCAAGTAAATGCGATGATTGATGCCCTAGAAGAATGAGTAAGAGGAGGGAATGGGGGATGTACTGTAGTAGGGGTAGCAGAAAAGGCCTCGGGAGAAGAAAAAAAATGGAGGGAAACACTGAACTATAAAGCTAACTGTCACTAGTTAATGAATATACTAAGTAAAGAACACTAAACAGTAGTAGCATGTGTTGCTCCCAGTGCTCGTGGAATCTTAGTGATGCATGGTAACAGCTGACACTGTTTTGAGCCCTGAAACGAAACATTTAAGACTGTGGACACATTATAACTCATGCTTTCACCCTCCCATGAAAAGCGCACACGGTCTCTCCAGCAGCTGACTCAGTAGAATCAAAGTTGTTCTGCAGGCCTAGACTAGAATGACAAATGCACTAATGTAATGTGAAATGTGTGTGTCTGTTAGATGTGTGTGTGTGAGAGAGAGAGAGAGAGAGAGAGAGTGAGATCAAGCTCTAGAGGGCTTTCCCTTCTAACTTCCACCTACACAACAACTGTCGCGGCACAAGTGTTATTACTGTATTTAGAATTCTGTGCATATCTGTGCCTTGCATAATGAGGTTATAATGTGCTGCTATGCATGGTGAATGCCAGATCTATGGAGCTTCTTTCATAAATTATCCAATTTTTTATAGGAATGCTTGTAGCCGTACCTTTAAAGGCTATTACTTGTATGCTTTAAAGAAAGATTGAACAGTAACACTTTTTATAAGCCTTACATAGGCACACAAAAATAAAAATGCATCCAGTTTTTGGTAAACTTGTATTAAAATTGGTTATATTCTTTGTCTTTCAAACATTTTTACACTGTAAAACCCAACTGTCAACTGTAAATGAAATGAGTGTAGTTAACTCAAAATTGACAGTTAATTCTACTCATTTGAAAAGAGTTTTGATCCCAGTGATGAAGGTAATGAGTCAATCAAATACCCCATTACTTCAGCTTAAATAGAGCAAGTTCACAGTACTCATATAAATTAGTTGTTACAACTCAAATGGTTTGTAACAATCAGTTTTCTTCAAGCGGTTTCAGTTACCTTATTGAGTTTGACAGTTCTCGGTTTGAGTTCTCTACATTTATTTGGTTTTACTGTGTTAAAATTGCTTCTTTTACTTGAATGTATTAAGTTCACAGTACCCATTAAGATTAGTTTTTGAACTTAAATGGTTTGTTGCAATCGGTTTCCTCAAATGGTGTGAGTTACCTTAACTTATTGGGTTATATAGTGTACTGATTCACAGAAGACGCCCATTAAATCGTATTATTCATTTATTAATCAATTGTCCTTCAGCTTAGTCCCGGATTGATCAGGGGTAGCCACAATGAAATGAATCGCCAACTACTCTGCCATGTTTTTATGCAGTGGATGGCCGCAACCCAGTGCTGGGAAATATTAGCGTAATATAGAAAATAATGCTCAAACTTGGTTTATAATGCATGTTTAAATTGGTTGTTGTGTTGTCCTTTTCGCAACAAGATTCTAGTAACACGCAGTTTGACTGTCTGCACCAAAAGCGACACAACATGACAAGAAACCTTTAAATAGCAGCCACTGCTTGCACAATGAAATGGTAAAGGATTTTTAATTGAACTGATTCATATTAAACCTCTTTAACATTATTAAAAGGCCACTGAGTGACTGTTGCTGTTGGATTGCACTGAATCGCAATTCTGACCTGAATTTTCAAACCTTCAGCTATTTTTTTTATTTTCAAGATCTGACATGAATGATCTGCTGCTGCTTTCAGTAGTATGGCAATCACAGAAAATGGTATTAAAACTCACATTGGGAACATTTAATAAAGCTAATCATCTGTACCTAAGATGATCTTTTTCAGTAGCATGTTCTTTTGTCCCGCCACATCATTGTATAAACAGAATATTTCTAAAATAGAAATTTCGCACCTATGTCACAGATGGTTAGGACTGAAACCCCTATTAGCATGAAAACGATACTTTGTGTGCTGTGTCGCATGACATCTGATACGTCGCATGGAAACTTGTGAAACTTACAATGTTATATTCTGAAGCAGTTTGAACTCATAGAAAGGAAACAGTCAAGATATTATAAACTTAAGCTGGTCCCAAACTGGATGCGCTGCTCAGCAACGTGCGTATGACAGTTGGAAGTAACATACACCGGACGTGCACATTTGCTTGTTATTTAAAATTAAACTATTCAGATGGCGCTTTGTGGTGCAGCAAAAATGTGCGGCAGAAAAGTGTCCTGAGTTGTAGCTGGGCACCGCACACAACCGCCGACTTGCGCGTCCTGTGTGTGTTCCCTGATAGAAACCTATTATGTTTAGAATTCTAAAATGCGACCTCCCTTAGCTTACCAGTGAAAAGGTAAAAACAGTTAGGCTTAGGTCTCATGAAGTGCTTTGAAATGTGCATTTTTAGTCGATGTCTTTCATGATTTCAACCGAAATGTGAAAAGAGAGCGAGACAAATTAGCTCCTCCCCTTTTTAAAAACAGTAAAGTTTTGTTTGATCACTGCTCTGCCCGCAAGAGTGGTTGAGATCAAGTGCATCAAATGCAAAGCAAATGAGAAGCCTCTTAAAGGGGGTGATGCATGTCAGATACTAGAGAGCATTTGATAGGTTCTGATTTGATGAGAAACTAGTATAAGGTGACGTGTGTAAAATCCTTGACAAACTACAAGCTTTACATGTTTATATCAGTTTTATATCTTCTAAATGTGAATTTTCTCACTGTTTTGGAGCCCACTAGCGCATATATTTCTTAAAAACAAGCAATACTGATAAAAATTTCATGCGGGATCTTGAAATTAATTGATAACCTTGCATGATCACCAGACTTCCATATTACAGCAACTTTTATTTTGTAATTAAATGACATCGTTAAGCAAATTCTGTTCCATGTAACCAGTTACTCATTTTAAATTCCACAAGTTGCAGACTTGTCTCAGAATTGTGATGTGTAATTTAAATGTAATATTGATAGGGGTGGGGGGTTTATTTTTGCACCGCTACTCTCATCTAGCACTCTAATTTTGCAAGGAGTGGGGCTAATCACATTTTGCCTAAACCATCAAACTGACGTCATCAAAGGACTGCCATTTTAAAGCAGAAGCAAATGGTGAGATTTTCATTAAAAGTCTACCAAAAACTTGCACGGATATTTAATTTACATCAATGTGCTCTAGCAAAATAAATATTGTAAGTTTTGAT